TGAGTTTAAATTTGAGTTTTAATTTGAGTTTGAGACTAAAATCTGAGTTCAAGTTTTCCTTTCAACTCAAGTTCTCAAACTCAAATTCAACTTAATGAACAGTATTTTTTATATTCTTAAAAACATCATAACTTTTTCGTTCTAATTTCGATTGAGATGATTTTTTTTCTATGCGTTCACAACGGAGAGACGAATAAAACCCTACTCATATACTCTATTAAGAAAATTTCATCACCATTGAGTTTTTATTAAAATATTATATAAATACAAATTCAAATTTTGACTCACTCTAACACAAATTCAAATAAATTCTCAATTTAAATCATAACTCAAATGTGCAAATCCAAACACAAACTCAAATTACAACTTTAACTCAAATTATAACTCAAATTCAACTCCCATTTCACCGATTCGAGTTTTACTACAGTAAAAAACTCTCAGAAACAGTCATATTTAACTTTTTTATTACAGTAAAAAGCTCTCACATAAAGTCACATCTCAACTCGAATCAACGCACTAAATGGGCTAAAAAAATGCAACCGAATAAGCCCTTTGTAATTTGGTGAATTATGGGGTTAGGTCATAAACTCAAACAAACTAAACTCTTGTTTACTTGAAAACGAAGTTGATGAAATTAGTATGAATGATAAAAATAAATATAAAAGAGAACAAGTCTTTCACCATCCTTGTTACATCACTTCAGACAATTGCCTCTCTGATTATTGGTTAGGGATACTCTATCATTGAGTGTATTAACCAACGGAAATTTGACAAATTATTAAAAAAGAAGATTCTCTAATATGTCTAACGTATTGGTAAATCAAATTTTTTTAATCGCTAAATTTATATATTTTTTAATTTTTACGTGATTTTATATAGATCCGACATACAAAAAAAATTAATCTATTAGTATGTTGGTGTAAGCAAAAATATTATATATATATATATAGGTAAAGCCTCCAATCCAATATTAGATTAGAGCGGTATATATATATATTTTTTTTAAAAAATATGTATATTTTCCTCTTAAAACATGTATATTTTCTCTTAAAATATAGGTAAAGCCTCCAATCCAATATTAGATTAGAGCGGTATATATATATATTTTTTTAAAAAAATATGTATATTTTCCTCTTAAAACATGTATATTTTCTCTTAAAACATGTATATAGGTATTTAGATAAATTATAGACGTCTCCACACATTATATATGTTTTAAGAGAAAATATATACGTATTTTAAGAGAAAAAAAAAATATATATATATATACATGTGATGCTCCAATTTAATATCGAATTGGAGACCATTTATATATATATATATATTTACCTAAATCATTGTGCAAATGTTCATGATGAAGAAAAAAATAATAATTAAATTAATAGCTGGCTATCCTCTCTGGATTGGCATTGAATATGTCCAATAAATCAAAGAATAGAAGATATAAGAAATAAAAGGATTGGGTGATGAACTTGTTAAATGAATATGCGTCATGCGTCCAAAACCTAACGTTTGACACAAACATTAGTGAGCGATGCACATCCCAACTAATGTCCTACGAAAACAGAAGAAAGATTATGTGCTTGGTCACAACTATTTATCATATTAGATCAAGGAAACAATTTGTGTTTTAATAGTATTGCCTTTGGTAGCTTCCTTTTTATGCTCATTTAATTTATTTTTAATGTTTATGGAACTAATATTGGCCCCACATGCCAGCCGTAATTCCTAAATTATTAGGAAGTGCGACTTAATATATGCAAATAATTTCCCCATCATAACTTAATACATTTACAAGTAATTGTCGCCGCCACAAATTTATACTTTTCCTTGCAAATAACACATACTACCCAATTATCATCCCACTATGATGGGCTTTTTTTTTTTCATTTTAAACGCCAAGAAATAAAGGGTCGTCCCATTTTATTCTATCGAAACAATTTACGCACTAAAATGTTAGATACCAAAAGTTCCCTATGAAATGCCTATAAGACAAGCAGTAGGTTTTCAAGCCCTTGGGTTTCCCTTTCTTTACATGGCGATTTTACAAAGGGTGAGTTCTACCTAATGAGTTTGTAACAATTAGTCCACCACATCGCGGGTTTGAGTCTAAACGGTTATGTTATAGGTTGGATTAAGTGCGTTAGTAAAGTTGTTAAAGTGTGACATACTGATAATCGAGTGAAACCGTTACAGAGGAAACGATTACCGTTAAATCAATGTTAATAATGTGGACTGTCGTTGATTTTGGCCCAAACATAGCAGAATGGTACAAAACCACCATGTTGAGCATGAGATGAGATGTAGTATGAACTTTAGTTCTATAACCATTGTCCACAGATAGGACGACTTAGAGATGACTGCTGCTACCTGATAGTGTTAGCTACTAAAATGTCTACTTGAAATGATTATAAAACAAATAGTGGATTCACAAGTCTCTGGGTAATTTCCTATTCTTAGAAGTCGGTTTTGTAAGAGTTAGTTCTATAATGGAGTTTATAACAACACAAGATAAATGTCCCCGCATTTGCTTGAATTCCTTCATTTTAAAGTCACTTGATTGTAAAACACAAAGGTTGTTTGTCTCTTTCATTTTGTCAACCTGACGCCTCACTCAGACACGTATGAATCTGTCAAAATTTAATCAGACGTTAATGTGTAATTGTTTGTGTGATGAAGATTATCATTCTACAAATTATTTTATTTTAAATGTTGACAGAGACGACCTTTATTCTTAAAAAGTAAAAAATAAAAACAAAAAAAAATCCTTTCTAATTTTTTACACAATATGAAATTACGAGTGCAAGACTTCATGTGATATTAATAATTCAATTTTGTTATAAACTTTTTCTTTTTGAGATATATTGAAAGCAACAACAGCAATTGAGGTCCATAATCCATTCTGGTTTATCATGCACCACATGTCATCTCATATCTTGGCTTTCTATTCCCATCTAAAAAAGAAACTTCATCCATTCTCTCACGCGGCTACAGTTCGCTTAATAATCGTGATTTATGTAACTTTCAAGGAAAACTACTACCATGCAAAAAAAAAAAAAAAAAAAAAAAAAAAAAAAACCCACCCAGCAACACTTATTATCTGAAAAAAAAAAAAACTATACCACCATGCAATCATTATTATCTGTTATTTTTTAGAGGCAAGTTCTTAAGTGAAATTCAACACCGAAAGAAAGAAGATGAAAAAGAAAAATGCAAAATATATATATATATATATATTTTAACACGGGTCTCTCACTTTAATAGTAAAAAACGAAGCTATTAAAATTCGAACCTTACCGAATACACCAATACATTCACGCACGTAATTATTTGAGCTAATGGTAAAAATTCATTTATTTGACTGATTTGAGTTTAAAATTAAAATTTTATTATAGTAAAAAGCTCTAAAAAATAATCACATTTAATTTTTTTATTACAATAAAAAATTCTCATATAAAATAACATCTTAACTTAAATTAAAAATCCGAATCAATAAAGAGATGTTTAGTCTATGGATTAAAATTATGTGATTAGAACTATTTTTGATTTACGTGTATTTTTTATGAGAGAAAATATTATAACGAATCATGAATCATAATTCGAATCATAATTTAAATCATCTAACCAAACATCTCCTAAATTAAACAAACCAAAATTATTAAAATTTAAATTACGATAAATATAAATACATATTCACGCACGAACCACTTCAGCCAACTCAAGTCGCAGAGACGTACGCATTGGTTAGCTTTGGAGTTGATCGATTCGCCCATTCACCTACCTCAACGATCTCTCTCTTTACAAGACTTTTCTAATTGCCGCGACCCCAAAAGTGAAGTGAAAGTAAAAACTAGAAGTAAAAGTAGAAGAAGCAGCAGCAGGCGCTTCGCTGGCTCTGAAGTTTACCATCATCACCCCAATTTTTCAGCCGTTATCTTCGATTCTTTTTTAGTTTCGTTAATTTAAATTTTTAATTTTATTGAGATGTGATATCATGTGAAAATTTTTTATTATAATAAAAAAATTAAATATGATTATTTTTTAATGTTTTTTATTATAATAAAATTTAAATTATAAATTCAAATCGATAAAATAAACGAGATCATTTTTAGTTGCTTGCCTTCAACTCGATTTGTTTGCATTTTTAACTCATCGCTTGGGCACCACAGATTTCCCCAATAGAAAACCCCACCACCAAGAAAAGCAAAAACAAACAGTTAGGCTAAGATCACCACTTAATCTGTTATTACCTTATTTTACAAGAATCATGTGAACGTCACTGTTGGAAATCTAACGTTACATTTAGTTTTGTCCTTTTTCCTTTTCTTGTCTTTTTTTTTTTTTTTTTTTTTTTTTTTTTTTTTTTTTTTTTTGTTGCAAACCCAATTTGTTATTCAACCTCCACAGTAAACTATTCATTTGCGGTTTTACTTTTACGGGCTTGAGATTGAGAGAGAGGGAATAATGAATGCGTTTAGAATTCGTTTTAAAATAATTTTATTTTTTATATGAAAAAGAAAATAAAAATATTTTTAATCTCAGTTAAAAATTATTTTTAAAAATATGTTTGGTAGTTTTATTAAAAAATTATTTTCAGTGTAAAAAAACTCATTAATGTATTTATTTATCTCTCTGTTAAAAATCGTTTTTCGTTTCTCATTTATTTTATACTAAACTAAAAAATTATTTTTATTTCCGTTTTTTATTTTTATTACGCCAAACATTATTTTAAAAATATTTTTTTTTTCTTTTTTAAAAAATATAAAAAATAAAAATGAGATTAATTTCAAACACCGTCAATATTTTACATTGCCATGGAAGCCACTAATGGCTTACCCTTTAATCAATCATTACTATATTTTTAATGTAGAATAAACCCAAAAGCGTGTGATCCTCCTTGTGAAGGCTACTACTTATAATTTATTTATTACATGTATTTATTAATTTATTCTTAGAGTGAGAGAAAAGAGGAGAAGAGATATGGTCTAAAAAGACTTGTAGATAGTAGATGCACAAAAAAAATACAAAGACACACCAACCGAGAGCCTATATTCCTAGTTCCTACTACCAAGAAGGAACAAAACAAGAAGAAAAAAAGGAAAGAAAAAAAAAAAAAGGGAAATATATAAACAAATAAAACTGAGGAGAAAAAACGGAACTTTTTTCTGTGGCTTTGGATTCTTCTGGCAAATCGTGCCTGCCAGCTTTGCTTGAGTATGGCTAAACAAGAATAAAATTTAGTGACAGAAATTGTTGTTGAAAATTAAAAAAAGAAGAAAAGAAAAGAAAAAAAGTTTGCTCGCTTGATTGACGATATTGTGGTTTTAGGCCGAATCTGTGGAGTCCGGACAGTGACTCTTTCGGAGCTGAGACATGAGAGAGATGTCGGAGATATGGAGGATTTTGGTGTTCTTCAGCGTCTGCATTTTGGGATTCAAGCCAAGTTTCATCAATGCCGCCACAGATCCACAAGACGGTCGGTGCTAAACACTTCTCTGTTCCTCTGTTTCTCTTTTCCTCTTCTTCTTCTTCTTCTTCTTCTCTCTCTCTCTCGGTTCTCTTTGAGCTAATCTTACCCATCTGTACTCTTTTCCTTGTTTTTTCACAGATTGAAAGCTTTTTTCCTTGGAAAGATTGTATGAGAAGTGTTCTAGTTGACTTTTGAGGATAGATTTGTGTTTAAAGATTGTAGATTTGAGTTCTCAGATGTGAAAAGTTGTTCGTTTTGCTCCGATTGTAGTGAGAAAAGGAATTTTCTCACTTTTTTTTTTGAGTGAAATGCTGAGATGCCATTTTTACTTTGATTGACTGTGGTTTAAGCAACTGAAGATATGATTTTTAGCTGTTTATTTTAACGAGTTATTTTGTTCTATGACTTCAGTTTGATTGTTCTGCCTTCACAAATGAGAAAATTGTTACTGAGAATTTCAATGCTTTTAGACATAGAAGTAGTATTTGCCGCGTTGGTGTTTGTTGAAATGGAAATTTCTGCTAATTTAATGGAAACTTGTACATATGTGTGTGTGTGTGTGTGTGTGATTTGTTTATCATTAGATTGGTTCTAATATGTATGAAAGTCCGTTTTTGTGAATTTGAGGACACAGCTCCATGGGACTTGGTTATTTCTTGAAAGATGGGAGAGAAAAAGATAAATCCTTTGAGTATTCTTATGAGAATCATGAGTTTCAAATAGTGGTTTAGGCATTTTATGGATAAATTGTAAGATTTTACAGTATAATCTCTAAACAAATTAGGAGGTTAAATGAAGAGCATTTGCTAAAATTTGTTGCAAATTTGTTTACTTTTTTCACTTGATTTTCACAGCTGCTGCTCTAAGGAACATGTATACTAGCATGAACTCCCCGCCGCAGCTAACTGGCTGGAATGCAAATGGTGATGATCCATGCGGGCAATCTTGGAAAGGAGTAACTTGCTCGGGCCAAAGAGTAACTGAAATGTGATTCTCTATTCTTCATTCGTTTCCTTTAGAATGCCTTTTGACTCTTTGCTACAGGTTTTCTGAATCTGTTCTGTTGTGTTTTCTTTTGTCCCAGTAAATTATCTGATCTTGGGCTTTCTGGATCGTTTGGTTATCAATTACAAAGTTTAACATCAGTAACAATCCTGTGAGTATCATGTTTCTTCTTATTGTTTTTATAATTATGATTGTTTTTCGTATAAATCTTTATTTTTGATGTACTATGCGGTCTCTTGATAAATTATGCAGGGACCTGAGCAATAATAACCTCGGAGGTGGTATGCCTTATGGAATACCTCCAAACTTGACGAGATTGTAAGCTTCATTTTTGTGCATTTGAGCATATTCCTAGTTTACCATGTATTTGTGGCGTTTTATGTGAGGGGTTAATTCTTTTTTCTGCAGAAATCTTGGCGGTAATAATTTTAACGGAGGCATCCCTTATTCTATTTCCCAAATAACATCTCTTAAATACCTGTAAGTTTCTGGTTTTAAGTTTTGTTTTGAGACAACATATATGAATAACAAGTCCATATCTAATTCTTCGTTTTGGGACTGTAGGAACATCAGCCACAATCAGCTTCAGAACCAATTGGATAACATGTTTGACAAGCTTACTTCCCTCTCAACATTGTAAGTTTGGTTTTTAATCTTATGGGAAAAGGCTTATGTGAGTGCCTGTTTATATCATTACTATCTTGCACACATGTCAAAAGAGTGCTTCTCTTTAAAAAAGGATAGTCAAAAGAGTTCTCCTCTTTAAAAAAGGTTTTGGAGGCTTGCAGGTCTTCTCGTAATGTTTCTGTTGATTGAACGTTTTGTGATAGTATTCATTTTTAGTTATGATTTTAAAAGTTTTTTCCTAAATCAAAGTGACAGTGACCTCCTGGCTGTTGGATTATTCAGACACAGTGTTTGTTGTGTTCTTGCTTGCTTATAAGTTATCTTTTCCCCCAAAAATCAAAGTGATTATAATCTGTCTCTTTTGCTTTAGGGATCTCTCTTTCAATTCTATTCAAGGTAACCTTCCTCAGAGTTTTAGCTCTCTTTCAAGCATGAACAAAATGTAAGTATTTAATGATCCAAGTTACTCTGGTACTAAAACCCAGTTTATCGTCATAACTGCTAAACTGATCATCCATTTTCATTCAGGTATCTGCAGAATAACCAGTTTACTGGCACTATTGATGTTCTTGCCAATCTTCCCCTTGACGTTCTGTGAGTAACAGTATATTGATAAACTAAGTCAACTGCTCTTTCTTTTCTGTAAGAAGAGAATCCTGTATTTCATCGAATTACAGTTGTTTTTGTATTCAACAGGAATGTAGAAAATAACCGTTTTACTGGTTGGGTTCCTGAACAGCTGAAAGGCATTGACTTAAAGTAAGTGTTTTATGGTATCAGTACTTGTTGCTTCCTTTTTTATTTTTTTCCTTTTTGTTTTTAGCCTCTTGAGGAAATTCAAAAAACTTGACAAAGCAATATCACGACAGGTCGAATGGTAACTCTTGGAGGTCAGGGCCTGCACCTCCACCTCCACCTGGTACAAACCCAGCAAGCAGAAACAATCGAAGTCACAAAGGTGGTAACAGTGACACATCAGATGGTGGTGGGGAAGGTGGTAAAAGTTCAGGAATAGGGGGTGGAGGCATAGCAGGAATTGTGATATCTCTTTTGGTTGTTGGAGGAATTATAGCATTCTTCCTCGTAAAGAGAAGATCCAGGAAGGCATCCTCAGATATAGAAAAGATTGATAACGAGCCCTTCGCTCCTCTGCCTTCAAATGATGGGCAAGGTAATATGAATTGTATTTGCATCTGATTTTCAGTTTTATATAATTCAACCTACATATATAGATATATTTATTTGTCATGTTGCATTTGATGGCTTAGTGGTATAGAGATATTTCAAAGATATTTGATTTGATGCTACAATTGCTTGCAATTTCAGACTTCTAATATGCACTTTTTTTTTCTGTGGAAATTTAAAGCAGAGATGAAATCAGTACAAATTTCTTCGACATTGGACACTAAAACTTTTGATGCACCTGCCACAATAAATCTTAGACCTCCGCCAATTGAGCGTCACAAGTCATTTGATGAAGATGATTTCTCAAAGAAGCCAGTTGTTGTTAAGAAAACTGTCACTGTTCCTATTAATGTCAAAGCATACTCAGTAGCAGACCTGCAGATGGCTACTGGAAGCTTCAGTATCGAAAACCTTGTTGGAGAGGGGTCTTTTGGGCGTATTTATCGGGCTCAATTTGATGATGGCAAGGTATGAATTTTACCTAATAAATCATTGTCCATGCCAGTTTGGTTTGTGAAGTCAGTAACCTGATTTCCAGTCAGCATGAATTTCTCATCTCTTATCCAAGACAAAGTCTTTTTTCTGCGACTTAAATGCCACCTCTTGGTTAATGACTAATAAATTTGGTTCCGGGATATAAAGCATGCAAATTGTAAGAAAATCGATTGGAGTGGGACCTAGTTAGTCTTACGTCGCTTTATCTGATACATGCCTGCATTTAAAGTTAATTTAGCAAATTTTGTAGACCTCCATCTCTCTCTCTCTATGATGTTCATTGGTTTGATATTCATAGAGGTAACCATTTGTTATGATTTTATTTTCTGATATGAGACCCCGGTTATGTTGAGATTAATGATTTTGAATTTTGACATGTTCCTTTCTCTTGTCACTATATCATAGGTTCTTGCTGTCAATAAAATTGATTCAGCTCTTTTTCTGGGTAATCAATCATCTGAAGATTTCACGGAGGTTGTTTCAAACATCTCCCATTTGCATCATCCTAATGTGACGGAGTTGGTGGGCTATTGCTCAGAGCATGGACAGAATCTGCTAGTTTATGAGTTCCATAAAAATGGTTCACTGCATGACTACCTGCATCTATCAGATGAATACAGCAAGCCATTGATTTGGAATTCCCGGGTCAAGATTGCTTTGGGGGCTGCTCGTGCACTAGAGTAAGTTATTAGTAAATTTATTTTTCCTTTTTCCGAAAGATAAAATATTCAGGAGTTATTTTATTATTATTATTATTAGTATTATTTTATTTTACTCTGACGATCCATGTCTCTTTAAAGTACCTTGTAAACTACTCTAAAACTCAAGTTGAGACTCCTAAAACTATTTATTGTTAACTCGTAAATTACTCTCGGATAAACGTTGCCAAGTATCCTTAATTAATACTTAATACAAATCCTGCTCGAGATTTTAATAAAACTGCCATCTGGACAAAATATGGTTGATAAGATACTTCATGCAAGCATTGACAAATTCCATTGTAAAAAGAAGGCAATTCAATTTTGTGACTTGTGGCAAGATCCAGATGTACATAAAGAATCTCGAATATTTTTTCTGAGATATATTTTTTTGACTGCTAATACTGAGAATGGCGTTTTTTAGGTACCTCCATGAAGTATGCTCACCATCAATCGTTCACAAAAATGTAAAGTCAGGCAACATATTACTTGATGCGGAGCTTAATCCACACCTTTCGGACTGTGGCTTGGCAAACTTTATACCAAGGGCAAAGGAGGTATGTTTGAGCTATTCTTAAATAATTAGTTTAAGGATTACACGTGCTCTAGGTTCGATCATTTAAACTAATTTCCAAAACTGTTAGTAGTAATAACCACCCAGTGATGGTAGCAAACTTCAAAGATGCTTAAAACGCGTTCATGTTATTTCATTAAAAATAAAAAATAAAAAAACACTGTTATGCTGCCATTCTAGCACTGGTGCAGGCGTTGCCACATGTGATTTATTGTTATTTTCATTTTATTTAAATATCTATGCTAAGCACTCCAATCATAATGCATAAGCTGTGCAAGCTATACGTAAACTTGAGTGTTGAATGTGCAGTATTTGAGTAGCCATGTAGAAGTTGGATTTAACGCTCCAGAGATTCTTATGGCTGGCCAATATTCTGTAAAAAGTGATGTGTACAGTTTTGGGGTGATCATGCTGGAGCTTCTTACTGGTCGCAAACCATTTGATAGGTATTTATATCGACATATCTAGGTTATTAGTGCTTTTCCCATTTGTAAAGTAGGGAGAACTTCGGTCGTTTATCTCAGCCTTTTGTGATTGTTTTATATTTCTCAACAGCTTAAGGCCTAGATCTGAACAATCACTAGTTCAATGGGCATCACCCCAGCTCCACGACATTGATGCTCTATCGAAAATGGTAGATCCAGCGCTTGAAGGTCTCTATCCCGTTAAATCTCTCTCCCGGTTCGCCGATGTGATTGCTCTTTGTATCCAGGTAATCCGAGAGTTAAATTACGGAGTTGGTTTAAATTATGGCACGAATAACTATCAGTTAGAAGTTGGCCAACATAGCCATCCTCAAGCTTGAAATTATGATCCTTAAATTTCACAACATTGCTGCAGGCGGAGCCCGAGTTCCGACCACCTATGTCAGAAGTTGTTCAAGCGTTGGTTCTGTTGGTGCAGCGAGCTAACATGAGCAAAAGAACAATCGGAGTCGACCAAGGAACATCCAGACGGGGAGACAGCCAAGATTTAGGAGACTAACTTTTCTTGAAAGCAACTTGTATCCGTTTGGCCATGCATGATGGGGCTTGCAGTGCACCTTTCGTTGCCTGGATACACTCTTGGTAAAAATATGCTTTGTCCATAAGTACATAGTTGAGTTAGTTCTTTCATTGTTTGAAAAATAATATCAATACTGGACCTGCTGCGGAGTTAATTATTTAAACTTTCAACGGATAAATGAGATTCTATTTTCCTGATTACGTGTGCCCTTTAAAATTATATTGCTCTTTCGATGTATTGCTGTGAACTACATAATTGAGTTTCCATTGTATATGACGCAACTTTCTTACCAATGTCGACGTATTTGTAGTCCGCTATCTCCTTATTAAGATCATTACTCATTAATTTAAATTCTTTTTTTTTCCTTTTTGGTTTAAACTAAACGATGCATCATTCACCAATAGAAAATGTCATTAAGATTTAAGAAAAGTGAGGGTCATTTATACAGGGTTTATCGAAAAATTGCAAGGCTTTATCTTGTCTCACAGTTTTAAAGTATCACTTTCCAAATGAATTTTTCTCCCTTTCCTTCTATCTTTTTTTCCCCCACAAAATTACAGGCATTGTGTCACATTTTAGTATTTGAGTTAAAAAAAAAAAAAACTATTTTGCAATACAATGCTATTTTTTAATCTAATCTATAGAATCCACAGGGGCATTTACTTAAATGGTCTCGAGTTATATTTTAAATAAGTGTTAAGGAACCGCTATCCCGCCAGTGATTTAGGCCTCATTTATTTCACCATTCAAATTTTCAATTTTAATTTTACGAGAGTTAAAAATTCTCACGAAAAATTATATCTAACTTTTTCTGTTACAGTAAAAAACTCATATAAAATCACATCTCAACTCAAATTGAAAACTCAAATTAACGAATTCTTAAATGCAGAACTTAATCAATATGGCCTCGGGAAGACCCAGGAAGAATGGATCATAAAGATGTCTAGCAAAGGGCAGCACTATATAAACCATGCAGATCCAAATTGAAAAAACAGCGGTACAGAAAAGTGATGTAAAGATAATCCAGGGGCATTATAAAAAATGTACAACAAAAGCAGATAAAAGTTCAAACAATTGATATGAAATTGGATAAAGCCTCCGACAGAACTATGTGAACATATCATGTCTTCCATATTGCCCCCCGTTCAGTTTGCTCAGACAATATCACATTCACTTGGAATTGTACGACTGAAACTGAAATTGTGGAACGCTAACAAACCAAATATGCTGCTCAGTTGTAGACCATGTACTTGGGCGTTGCACTGAACTTCTGGTACCCCTTGATGACTTTGTTTACTGCATCGAGGAAGTCTTTCTCTGTCACCGTCTTCCTTCGTGCTCGGATGGCATACATTCCAGCTTCTGTGCATACACTCCTTATATCAGCTCCTGCACAGGATAAAATCATATGTTAGAAAACCCAATGTCTGGAACAAGAGACCAGTGAGACCATCAAACAATGGAAAGCACAAGTCATCTTACCTGTGGAATTTGGGCAAAGCCGAGCCAGAAGTTCAAACCGAACATCCCTTTCACAGTTCATTGTTCTTGTGTGAATCTTGAAAATTTGTGTCCTGCTCTCCAGATCAGGGAGGCCAAACTCAACCTTCCGATCCAATCGTCCGGGTCGAAGTAGTGCTGGATCTAGTGTGTCAGGCCTAAAGAAGGGTCCAAAAGTCACAAACTGTGCAAGCAGGACATAAAATCTGGGAGGTGCACTAAAAATGACATGCGACTAATGCTATCCAAAGAGTGAAAAATAAGGTTAATGATCGCACCTGTTTGTTGCCATTAGAACTTTGATGTTTCCACGGGCATCAAACCCATCAAGTTGATTCACAATTTCAAGCATTGTACGCTGGACCTCATTGTCACCACCCACACCATCATCAAAACGTGCGCCACCAATGGCATCAACTTCATCAAAGAAAACAATACATGCCTTCTTTGAGCGAGCCATCTACACCAGAAAACAAAACTAGTTAAGACAACAAGGCCAGACGAAGTTAACTACTGCAAGAAAAATTTTAGTTGAATGAGCTGACCTGAAATAACTCACGAACCATACGAGCTCCCTCTCCGACGTATTTCTGAACGAGCTCGCTCCCAATAACTCGAATGAAACAAGCATCAGTTCTATTAGCCACAGCTCTAGCTAAAAGTGTTTTACCCGTCCCTGGAGGACCATAACAGAGAACACCTTTAGGAGGATCAATTCCAAGCTTCACAAATTTCTCTGGATGAAGCATTGGAAGTTCAACAACCTAAGAAAAAAAAACCAAAATCAGCATTGAACGTACAGACATTAGACATAACTAGTTTCTACATTCAGGCTATCACTGTTAAATACTTGAAACATAGATTATTGTCAAATGTATTCAAAGTCAAAATAATTGACAAAAAGGAATAGGTAGCATACGTACTTCTCTCATCTTTTCAATTTGCTCCTTACATCCACCAACATCATTGTAAGTTACGTCTGGCTTTTCTTCAACAGTCATCATGGTCACACTTGGATCAATTTTCGGAGGCAAGGGAATCTGAATCTGATATTTGTTTCGATCAACTCTGCAGTATCAGTACAATTTGAAAAGATGATCAGATAACATTAAACTTTAAATAGAAGAAGGATAATTGCCTCAAACAGGTATATCATAAAAGTCTCTGGAATAAACAATATAATAACATTACTTCTGGAGCTAAAAACAAATAAGGAGACCTACCCAACACGCATGCCTTCTTCTATATCGGTTGGAGAAACTTTGTCACCAAGCCCCACAACGAACTGTGTTCAAAAAATAGAAATTATATTAGCCACTGCTGGTGTGATGACGTGACCAGATAAAGATAATCAAATTCAGATTGCTTCAAAGTCAGATGTTATTGGAAACACACAACATATATCATGTAAAGATCAACAGGTAAAATCATGTAAATTAATTTCTAAACAATATTAGACCAAGTGCAATAAATTATGCTAAGCCAAATAGAACTAGAAGAGAAAACCACTTGTAACAATCAAACTGATCATCCTTGTTGCTTGTTTGCTTCTTATCAAGTTGCAAAAGGAACAAGGGTCTAAAAAATTGGAGTGCAATGAATAAGAGAGGAACTACTTATTACAACAAAAGGAGTTGAGAAAAAATTGTACCTTGGCAATTTGCTTAACATTAATAACGTATTTTGCGTCTTCAGTGTTCGGATTAATAATCTTAGTACACCTTGCCACCTGATTAATGCAAGTCATGAATACCTCAGAATCACATCATATGAAATGAATAACAGGTCCATACACACAGCACGAAGACAAATACATATAAAGAGAAACACGGCACCTGAAGTGGCTGCTCTTCCTGCATCATCTGCTTATCAGAAACAAGATCCCACTGGCTGGGTGCAGCTAAGCCAGTATCAGACTCCTTAATCCCTACAAAGAATGAAAATTAAGTTAGACCAACAAAAGAAAGGTCTAGTATAAGCATCGCTTGGCTAAATGAGAAATCGAAACCACCTAGCAAGACCAAAATGTTACATTCAGCTTAGAGTATAATAAGCTAGAAGCTACAAAGGCAAATCAATGTTACAAAAATTTGTTGCATCCAATATCTACGAGTTACCCTATTCTGTAATGAAAGTTTTGGAAAATCTCTCTATGAAAAGCAGGTAAATTATAGGAAAAGAATACATACCACATAAATCATTGACCTTCTTTGCCATTTCCTTAATTTCTTTCTCTGCCTTCTTGATATGAGTAGAGTAGGGTCCTAAACCCTGCTCGGTCCATTAAAATTAAATAAGAATGGTGCCGACACAAAAAGAGCCAATAAAAATGACAGAATAACTGTACTCTACAAAACACAAAGACTAAACAGTGTACAGAATACAACTCCTAAGAGAATTAGAGTTTTCAGTTCTCAAATATGAACTTGATGTTTTTATCCGAAAAAGAAGCTGCCCATCTAGCAAAAGAGCAGTTAAAAATCAGGGAAAAAGCACAACGGTTGTAGATTTACAAAATTAATTGCTCACAGTTTGTCACGAGTTCAGAAATAATAATAATAATAATAATAATAATAATTCCATTGAACACAAATAGAAACAGAAAAAGCAAACCTTCACCCATAGTCAACGTTTGTAACCTTATTTTGCTTCCACCGATTAAAAACTAAACACCTGGATTACTAAAGACCCGAAATTTCTAGGTTTACGAGGAGCTACAAAGTAACTACAAAAACAAAATTGCAGTATTTCACAAATTGGATTCTGTTCAAGTGCACATTTACAATCAATTCCTCTGCTCAACCTCCAATCCTCTTCGTTTTAAATCCAATAACACCAAAAACGCAAAACGACTCAAAGTCTTAACAATTCAGATCCAAAATTTTTCCAAAACGCAGCGCAAAGCCTAGATCGAAAGAAACCCTAGAAAAGGGGGAAAACGATAGAGGAAGAATCGGATTCGGGGAAAATAAGGTTTAGGGGAAGCTTACGTAAGTTTTGAGGAGAGCGATGTCGTCCTCGTCAAGAGGCTTAGGGTTCTTCTCGTCCTTGAAATCGTCTTCCGGTTCGGGAGCCATCTGATTTTCTGGGTTTCTAACTTTCTTCCCAATCAAGCCAAGTATCTCTCTCTATGCACTGAGAACAAGCTTTTCCAATTTCGACTAAAACCCTCGTTTATATATAATCGTCGAACTCAGTACTTGTTTTTTCTTTTTTCTTTTTTTGTTTTTTTAATTTATAAAGAAAGAAAGAGGACTTGAATTTTTTTTAGTTTTGTAATTACTAAATGTGCCCCACAAAAATACTCTCTCTCTAATTTACCTCCAATAGGTTATATTTTTAACAAATACATCCTCACTTAACCTATAGTGCTCTAATGGCATGTTTACTTACCAGGATTGAAGAATGGGAGTGGAGAATGAGAGTCAATCTCATATTTACTTATTTTTTTTTTATCCTGAAATGAGAGTGAGATTGGTGGGCCTCACTCAAATTTGAGATTGAGGAATGGGATTGGCACTTCCATGCCCCCTTGGGATTGAGACTCACATTCCTCATATTAATATTAATTTACTATTATACCCTTATTTTACTTATAAATACACAATTAAAGATAAAATTCAAAAAATAATAAATGCAACATATATTTATTATTTTAGTACCCAATTATTACACAAAATATTTTAATTATGATTAATTTTAATATAATAAGTACACTATTTTTTAAATTGAAAATATCAAATTGATTTAAAGGGTATATTAGTACTTTTACACTTTTTCATTCTGATTCTGGGTGTAAGTAAACGTATGAATGAAATTTGAAATAACTCTGATTCTGAATCCTATCACTAAATAAACAGTTTATTTTGACTTCGAATCCTATCCACTCCGATTCATGCTCATTCCGATTACGTGTAGGTAAACATACCATAAAAATAATTAAAACAGATATTATAACCTCTTTAAATAAACAAAATTTTCTCAATTGCGCTGCTATTTTAATATTTTTCATTCTCGTACTCCTCTAAAACATTGTTACAACAAAAGCTATCTCATAAGTATCTATCTAAACAATTTTTTTTTTCTCTTTGCCCATTAAAATAATTTTTTCTTTTCAAAATGCATCTTTATTCAAATATATATAAACATATTTCTTCAAGTGGCGTTCTCAACTACTATTTTGCATACACACCTTCTCATATGATATTTATTGGTATAGTAAATTTTTTTTTAATCTAATTTATCCATTATTTATTTTGAAATGTGTTCTGTTTATCTATTTTTCATATGTACTTCCTAATGCATGTCTATCTATTAAATCAAATTCAAAACCATCCATGTAAAAAAATAAAAATACAGCGAGAATGATATTATTTTAATAAAATGGATAGATTGATAATATTCTTTAATTAAAGACATCCTAAACATAGAGTTTAAAAGTCATTGTTTCATGTAATTATTTATTAGAAAATTGTGTGAGGGAACTTTTTTTAACCACCTTTTTTAATAAATGACTAATTTTTTTTTTATTTTACGAAAATGGTCATTTTGTTTTGATTCATTATTAATTTATAAATGATTAATCATTAATAAATATGTAATTTGTTTGATTAAAATTGATTAATTTCTAATTGAATTTGATTAATTATTAACTAATTTTGATTAATATAAAGAATAATTGAGTTAATCTGTGATAAATTATAGTCAATCATGATTGACCAGTAAGTTAATTAGTGATTGACCACTGAATCAAGTAATGATTGACCACTAAGTTAATGAAAAAGACCATTTTTATAATTTTGTAAAACTTTAACCATTTATAAAAATAAAAATAAAAACATCCTTTAAAAAAGGCCTCTTGTGCTTAAATCCCTTAGTGTGCATTTGGTTTAAGGATTCGTGTCGTGGTTCAAATCATGGTTCGTGGCTCGCTACAGTATTTTCTCTCACAAAAAACACATATAAATCGAGAATAATTCTAAATTATGATTTTGAATCCATCAACAAAACATCATCTTATTTATTCTCTCTCTCTCTCTTTTTTCCCCCTTAAGACACGTTGGTTTTTCACATTTCAAGGTGCGGGGAAAACGACATGACATATTATGCGCACTAGATGTATGCTGTTTTTATGTTAACACAAAACTACGTGTCGTTTCTAAAGTTAGTGCGCCTTTTGAAAAACGACTTACCATTTCAAATTTCAATTTAAACTACATGTCGTTTTATCTTACATCAAATGAGATGCGTTTTTCCAAGAAGCGACTTTCTCTAGGCACAAACGGCACGAAATGAAAGTAGATGCATAAATTATTGTTTTTATTAATAAACAAACAACATATCGTGTAAAAAAAAAAAAAAAAAAAAGAACAACACATCGTATCAAATTTTTAGAAACAAAACGCCCTAAACTTCATATAAAGTCATTTCATCGATTCGAGTTTAGAATTCGAGTTTTGCTACAGTAAAAAACTCTCAGAAACAGTCACGTCTTTTGCTGCAGTAAAAAATTCTCACATAAAATCACATTTCAACTCAAATTAAAAACTCGAATCAACAAACTAAATGAGAGTATATCACTTACTTAAATCGAAAACGGTAGGCAAAAGCCAATCTCCTTGTTAATCCGAAATTTCTAATAAAAGAAAATCTAAATTAACTGAAAAGACGCATGCCTCTAGTTTTGCAGCTTGGTGAGGAGTTGTGTTTGTAAAACTTAATTCAGCATGCGCAAACATCAGACGTCAAAAAGTTTTCATTTAGGACTTGGTTCTTCGTACATGAAAAGTGAAAAGAGAAATTTTTGTTTATTATCCAAGGCCACCTTTATCCAGCAAGTTAAAAAAATACTAATAATATCCCTTTTTTCCAACACAAAGTTGGCTCATCTTGTTACATTTCCGATCGCAAGAACATCTATGTAAACTACATTGTATTCCTGTACTTAAGAACATCATTTGGGTTCAAATCAAACGTGTTGCAAATATCTGAAATTGCAGTTTTACTAAGACCATCACCATCAATTCCCCGTTGAATAAGTTCTTCAAGCTCCTTTGACGGCTGCAACACCTGATGAAGCAAGAACACAAAAATTAGTATTAAGTATGAAAATACTAATAAGAAATATGCAAAGTTTGCGGTGTATCAATACGGTTCAAGTGTCCCTGTCTCGAGAAATTTTTAACAGGTTGACCTCATCAGCCATGAAATCGCTTCGTCTTCCTACAACCGATCTCACCCAGCAGTATAAATCCGAAGTCCAGTTATTGTTATCAAGTTTAGATAATCAGAAGCAGACTTACCCATGCAGAACTGAGCAACCTTTTCAAATCATGCTCAGAGAAGGTGGACTTAATGTCATCTCCCTCGACGGAATTTGAATTCTGAGATCCATCTGAGACTAGCTGAAGGAGCTGCTCACTTCCCTAAAATATCAATACAGACAACGCAAGAAGCTTAGATAGGTAAATTTTCATCCATGGAATGGAGAAAGGACCCGAGATTCTAAGAAATCCCTGGGACCAAGAGTGACTCGCAGTTGCAGATCATTAAGGCAAACCAAAAGAATAGTGGAGTTACCATAAACAGAATATTACTCTCATACGGGTAAAAATAGCTTAACAATACTTGGATCAATCATCAATCAGTTTAAATGGTAACACCATCCCCATTAGACACATGAATCAATTCCCAATGCAATTAACTACAGCTACTGCTGTTACATGACGGATATTAAATTTTTCTTTGGAATTCTTTAAAAAAAAATAGCTATCTACTTTTCCAACATATTTAAGAACTTGGGCCACCAGGCTTTATCAGTTGTCATATCTAGAAAAAATAAAAACATATGGTACCTGCAGAGCGCGCCAATGTGAGTAGGTGCGAAACAAGACCCTGAAGAATGGAATATTTGGCAACGGTAAAACCTACAATAACATTGGAGATAAACTTAAAGCAAGAACAAATAGGAATATAATTCAATTTCAGAAAAATGATCCAATAATCTATACGTTTAAAGCATGCAATTACCAAAGCAAAGAGCAATCAAAAGTTTTAATAAACGTACAGTGAATGCAGTGGTCAACGGAAGCAACGAAACAGAACCATAGAAGTATCTCCTGTGTATAACGGTTCCCCTGATATTCAGATGGTTCATATCATCAACTCCAGTTGCATGGTGGGTAATGCAAACTAGATACCACTATGAAAACTATTCAAAGGTGAATAGATGTATCATAGAAGAGATGGCTTCGGGTTAAAAAACCGGAGGACAGAAGCTTCATTCATACATCTTGAAGGAATGTTAAGACACAAATGTTCGCATCATCTACATTCATTTTTCACTCCACATATCGACTCTCAATATATTAGCCTCTTGCCACTCCAAGTGACACTTGAAGAAACAAAAAGTAGATAAAAATAACCTTAACCTATTTAAACTTATGTACAGTATTAACAACCTAGCTAGTTGTCAGAGATAATTTAAAATACAAACAAGGTTGATTCATTAGCGGCAACACAAAGATATTCAACCTGCGCCTATTTAAACCAAACAAGTGAAGAAAATGTACCTCAGGGCAATATGTTGTAGTCTTCGACGCACAAGCCGTGGATTTAAACTGCAGAATCGCTATAAACAATAACTAAATGTACACTACAACATTAAATAAATAAAAACGCAGTAAGAAATCAATGAATACTAGACTGGTTCTCTCCTCTAGTTAGTCAGATTGCAGGTTTAAGCTTGTTCTCCTCGTATAACCAACGATAAAATAAATAAAGGAGTTTCTCTAGTAGGCCAGTCCTACTGATAGTGTCAGTTTCTAACGGTTGGATCAGGTTAAAATTACATCAGATCGAAAAAGTATGCAAAATAAACAGTTTTCGATACATATCTACCCGCTGAAAACAGAGAACAACCCGTAGTGCTTTATTTATTTATTTATTTTATTTTTTATTTTCAGAGAAGCTCCCAATAAATAAAGATAGGCAGAACAAGAATGATACCTTGCAGGGTAAGTGACTTCAACAGCTGTAACATCCTTAGGAATAGATTTGAAGAACATCTCAGACGGCTTTACCCGAGCCAAGAGCCGCAATCCCAACCTACAACGTCAAAATGCAAAGTTCCAAGGTTCAAAAACATCATAATAATAATAAGCAACAACCTTAAGTCTCAAATGCTTCATTTCAAGTCTACCCATGAATCTTGTTTTTGAAAGTCCCTCTGGGCGCCTTCTCCAGACCCATCCAACCTTTATTCATCTAACAAAAAAAGAAAACCCAAATAGAAAAGAATAAAGAAAATATACATAAAAGACGCAAAGAAAAAAGAGAAAATGCGAACAAGTAAAACCTTGTTAGCGACGAAATCAATGAGAAGTTCAGCATTGGAGACGAAAGGTTTCGGATTTGAGAAAGAGATCTTGGAGAAGAGTTCTTTGAGAGATGAAGGAGTTACTGAAGTGGCTGAATCCGAAGGCAAAGGCTGAACAGTCGTCGAAAAGCACCAATTTCTTCCTCTCACCGGAAACACCACCACTTTCGCTCTCATTTCTTTCTTTCCCTGAAGCAAAACCTAAATTACCAGTACTATTATTTATCCCTCCAAGGAAGCGCTTTCTGTGAACCCTAAAAGATCTTGATTTGTTCTCTGAAAATGCGATATTCCAATCAAACAAAAAATGGGAATGAATCTCTCTCTTGTTTCTCTTTTCCTTTTTGGTCGGAATGGATCAGGAAATCGAAATCCGGAGAATATTTTGTATATACAAAGTCAACAATGGAGGAAAAGAAGAAATGAATCTGTCTATAAAGTTGGGTTTTAGAGGCCTCTGATGAGAAAGTTGGGGGTTAGTACTAGAAGTAGAATTCCAAATTTTACCGCGAAGAAAGAAACGGAAAAGTGGTGATATGAAATGAGAGTGAGTTGGGATTGTAAGGGCGGTTTAGTTCGCGATTTGAGTTTTTAATTTGAGTTAAAATGTAATTTTATGATTTTATTTATTTCATTGATTTGAATTTAAAATTTAAATTTTATTACAATAAAAAATTCTTAAAAACAGTCCCATTTAATTTTTTTATTACAGTAAAAATTTTCACATAAAATTATATCTCAACTTAAATCATTAAACTAAACGTATTTATATGTGAAAATTTTTTACTATAATAAAAAAATTAAATATGATTATTTTTTAAAAAAATTTATTATAATAAAATTTAAAATTTAAATTTAAATTAATGAAATTAACGAAGAGAGAGAGAGAGAGAGATTAGAAAAAGGCAAAGCGAAAGAAAGTGCATCGCTGAAGCGGCGCGTTTTTCATAACCCCCCCTGCGGTGAGGAGTCGCTTTCCAAACACCAAAACGGCGCCCTTTTCCGGACCAGTTTCATAAAACATCCCTCGGTTCTCAGAACATTTTTCACCCTTTTAAACTCTGTGAAATCGTTCAAAGCACACCTTCCCATCTGTAATACTAAGGAAATAATGACGCGATACTAATTTTAATTTCATAAATACCCTCTGATTTTAGTTTTTAGGAAAGTTGAAATAAAATCAGTAATTCAAGGATAATTATAAACTATAAACTGCTTTAAACGGTGTTTTTGTATAACTCAGAGAATAAAGTGTAACTTCCGAATGAGAGTTCAACTAAGCTACATAATGTCAAAACATATATATTTGTCTATGAATTTTTTTGGGTTTAAAAGTCGCGTAGGACAAAAGTCTTTCTCTCTCTTTTCTTCGGTAGAAAAAGAATTCTCGTTATATAACTATCTGATAGTTCCCAAAGACGACTCCAGGGACATGGAGGAGGAGAAACTATTCGCACAGCATTGTGCAACAAATTAACAAAATAATTGCATTAATCATACTTCAAAAATTTGCAATATGCAGCATGAAAGAATCGTACACAAATGGCTGAGGCTGATATAATACATTGAATGTACACCACCAACAACTTTCAGGGCAGACACTGATCAAGGTTGCAAAAAGGCAGGTTAAGCAATAGAACGAAACATTCAAACAGCTTTTCCTACAATTTTTCTGTTTCTGTTTCTATTTATCTTTCATTCATTGTCCGCTACAAAGTTTGGTTCTTCACCTTGGCAGAGATACTTATCACACGATGATGCTGATCCCCAATCCTTGCGGAGCCGCAAGATATCCTCCGTGAAAGTGGATCCAGGGGCTCCGATGAATACACTAGACATGGCACAGATTGTCTTATCCAGCATAGCTTCCACCTATCGAAAGAAATAATAAATGAATGAGTATATTGCATTTCAAGCAAGAGTGACGCTATAAAAACCATACAGCTCGTAAAACTTAACGGTCTCATGCAATCATGGCAAGAAAACCACCTACAAAAGTAAATCTTGCCTCAAAAAAATGGTTTTATTTGCTGGAGTACAAAACTACAACTACTAGCCACCAGTTCTTTAATACTGCAAGCTAGTGTTCAGTCTTCGCTATTAGTAGCATTGCTACCACCAACTACTATGCTTTCCATCCCTAATTCAATACTCATTACTACTGCAACCACCCCACAATGCTACTATTGTTAGTGATAATGGCATCACAACCAATACCACCCTGCTTATTATGCTGTTGGCATCATCTCGCCATCATCGCCATCCCTTCTACCACATTTCCATAGCTAGCACCATTGTATTAAAGTTAATGATGCAGATGAGTTTTCCAGGAACTTTTAATTTCTTACAATTTTTCTCATTACCCATTTGACGCTCGACTTATTCACGAGAGGTTTTAATTGGAACAGTGTATCTCACCTGGGAGTCTCCCTCAAGACCATGCCTGTACAACAGAGCATCCCATTTTTCTGCTGAATTACGTGCAGGCCGTTTAACTAGCGGTACAGGTTTCCCATTCAGCACAATTAGTGATTGCAGCAAACCAGTTTCACTTTCAGCAGCATCTGTTGAAAGATATATAACCGGCGCATTTGCCCTTTCAACCACACTAGTGATGCAATCCGCAGCTTGAGGAATGGGAAAAAAGCAACTTGGTTGTTTAGCATTGCTGGAAATAGCAGAAAGAATTATTTAGAGGCACTGCACCATTTCTTCTCTGAGTACAGATTAACAAAGGCATGCAGGCACGGAATTTTAATAGCCAAATAAGAATTAGCAAGTAAAATGTATCATGCTCTACATTGTCAAGTGCAACAAAAGTCAGCCTCCAAAACATCGAGTTATCTATAAATTCCCGGTAAGCCAGTGATTCTATGAAATCAAGGCTAATTTAACAGAAGGTTGTTATGACTGAATTCTCTGACTAAAATTACAGTTTATCACTAGCGACTAGCAAATAATTAGGCTGCATTTTCAAATGCTAAGCTTAAACCAGAACATGGGTGTGGATCTAGCTGCTATATGCAACTCAAAATGACAGTTTCACCAGAAAGCAATTCAAACTAGAATTTGCAAATGTAATTTGAGACATGCAATAAGCCAATCCGCGATAGACACCTAGGTGAAGATTGAAAGTTCTCACTGTTTAACATCTAACCTGGAACTATCTATAACAAAATGTTCATTACGTGTGCACTGCCAGATACACCAGTAACATGCAATGACAATGAACACAAACAAGCTTCAAATACAATCACCATTGAAATAGAGATGAGAGAAACAAGAAAACTAAAAGCTTACCAAAACTTCAAAAACCCATGCCTTCGGAAATGAAGTGCTACGAAGTTCTTTCCCAGGAATGTCTGAATAAAACGCTGGGCAGTAAGCATTATAAGCCGACTGGGTTCGATGAGAGTCTGGCATTTGTGAGCCAAAGGACCTCCTGGCTGCATAACCCACTCTTGTTCCACATCGGCATAGAAAACATCCCCAATTGCAATCACATCATCATTGGTAGAAAACTTTGACTGAACATCTTGGACTGTTCTCTTGTTAGGCCCTTTTATATCCTCCGTCCAGGCAGATTCAAGTTTGCCCATCGTCAACCCCAATCCTTTTAGCTTCTTGATGTGTTCATCATCCACATAACAAGGCTGAGGCTGCGAAAAATAGCATATAAATCTATTGATGTGCATATGGTTCTTCTTCGTCTCTGCAAAGTCCTCAAACGAAATGACGACCTTTCTTCCCAAGCACTTGTTGATGTGATCAATGTCCAAAACCCTATTGTATTGGTAATCCACTTTGGAACTTGGAATGACCAAAACCCTGTTCAGCAGAGCCGCAAAGAACATGTGCTTCTCCAAGCAAATCAAACGGTTTGACATTTGGCCCGACAAGCAAATCGCGAAGAGAAACTTGTTCGAATTCGGCTTCCACTCAATTGTTCTTCTTTGGGAGAATTTCTGGTCCACCTTTCTACATGTATCGAAATCAGAACCCCCGAGATTCGGATCGCCGGCGTCGGTTATAGAGCTGGAATTCCCCGATCGGTGAGGCGACAAGAGGACCTGCTGAATCTCTTTGTTCAATGAAAGCTGCCGAAGAACCGCGAATTTGAGATCATCAATGACTGAATTCTGCTCCGTTCCCGATGCGGAGGAGTTAATGGAAGAAGAAGAAGAAGAATTGTTGGTCGAATTAGAAGAAATAGGGGGCGAATCATGGAAGGTCTGGTTCCAAAGAGCGAAAAGACCTAACTGCTGTTGCCTGAGCAAGAAAAGCGCGCGTAGCTCCGACTCGCGCAAGCGGTCGGAGAAGGAATCGAATCGCACGCCGGAGAGATCGGCCGAGAAGAGGCCGCGAACGTCGGTGGAGAGGAAGAGGACGACGATGAAGAGAGGCAAGAAAATGGCGAACATGAACTTCTTGTTCAGCAAGCCGAGGGAGCTTAAACGACGCCGTATCCGGGACCGGAACTCACGGTTTCCTCCATCGACGTCGTCAATGTGGAAGGTGGATCGAGGGTGGTTTTGAAGCTTCCTCTCGTTCTGCTCGATCAGGTTCTCCCGATCGTCGTCTTCGTCGGAGGACGAATCTTTTCTCTCCATTTCCGTCTTCTTTACCGTTGCTTCTTCTGTTTCGAAACTGTTACGGGCAATTGTTTTTTTTTCTTTTTTTTTTTATTGTCGTTTATGATTATAAAACAGGAAAATAAAGAAGGAAAACTGTGGCTTTATTGTCAGATTATATGCGATTAGATCGTCGTAGGGAGAGAGAGTTGATTGAAATTATGGGACATCTGATCAGTGAGAGCAGTGACATTGAGTGCTTTTAACAAACGGGAAAGCCCAACATGTACGGAAGGAACCAACTGTCGGTGGCTGAAAACGACACTTTATCGGCCTTCCACCACGGGTATGTTTAGCCAACAACTGATTGTTGGGCCAGCCCAACACGTCTAACTTGTGTTTGGTCCGTAATGAGAAAATTATTGGATATCAGTGTAAATTTTTATCTTTTATTTTTAATTAATATTTTTTAATTAATATAATTATTTAATTAAAAATATATTAATAAAAAATAAAAAGTAAAAATTTAAACTCATATATTTTTAAAGAATATTAGTCTCATTTCTCTAATTTGTAAAAGAGAATCCTCTAGAGTGCATGGAAAAATGAAAGTCCACAAGTATGCTAAACAAAGAATATCTCTTATACTATTCCAAAAAAGAAATGATAAATGTTTTGGAACCATATGAGAAGTTCCAACAATAAACATATTGTTGGAAATGTGTAGTCAGAAGTTCCTAAAGTCAATTTTAACAATTGAGTTTGGAAACATATTATTGGATGCATCTATTTTATTATATTTTCTTTAGGGGTATTTTTAGCTTTTGTTTGTAAAGAAACTAACCAATCAGCTCTTGATTTAGCAAAATATTTGTTTCGAATAGATAAACTAATTTCGTGAGAGGAAACTCCATCTCCAATTGAATCTTTTTTTTTTTTTTTTTTTATGGTTTCTACAATTGCATCTGTTGTTGTCTTGGATTCTATTGTCAATTAATAACAAATCCTGTTTTATATTAACAAAATGAACATTATTGATACAATTATCCGCCACATAAACCCTGATCAAAGGCTAATTTTGCTTCCTAAGTCCCAAACTAATGGTGATTAGCAAAAAAAATCCCAAATTAAATAACTAATGGACCCCAGTGACAATTGGACATGACACGTCTTGGAACACACGTGTCGAACGATCATGACATGCAGTGGTGTTTCAGCAATATTACTCATTGATGGCCTTTGATTTTAAATCTTAGATTTTTTAGATTCATTCTCTATAATTTCTCTCAAGTATATCTTTTCTTATAATATATATTACAGCCGCTTACTTCTTTTTTAGATGTTTAATTGTCATTATGGTTATTTGTATTCTCCCTTTTAACTCTATTAAGGATGAGCTTGCAAAGCTTTGCTTAAAAAGATAAATAAAGAAGATGCCTCTGTAGTGAAAAAAAAAAAAAAAAAGAGCGAACTTTTTGTATGGTTTCTGTTTGTTAATGTACGTATTCATTATTTTTTTAAAGAAGATTTTCTTGTTGTCTGTATTCATTATTTAAAGATTTTTTAGTACGCCGGACGTATAGGTAGGTTAGGTTTTTTTAATTGTTAAATCTGTATACTTTTAATTTTTACGTGATTTTATGTAAATTTAACATAAAAAAAACATGACCTACTAATATGTTAGCATATCGAAAAAAGTCTCATTCTTTAAAATCCTGTACCTTTTTTTAAAAGCTTTCTCATTATGTAGTTCACAATTAACATGATTAAAGTAACGCACGTGCTGGTCTTACTAGTGATATAACTATGTATATATGTCTAGGGGGGTAAGAAATCACCCCAAACCCGATTAACCTGGCCTATCCTACCCGAAAATATAGGGTATTCTTTTTTTATTAATTTTTTTAGTTTCAAAATAGCCCAACCCGCACTGTGCGGGTAGGGTCGCGGGCCGGGCTTTATTTGACATGTTAAACCCTACCCGGCCGACCATATATTGGTCCTAATGTAAAAAAAAAAAAAAAAAAAAAAAACCCCCTACAGCCCTACTTTCTTGTTTCTTCCTCAGTTTCTTTCTTTCTCGACCCATTTCTCCCCTTTGGCCGTTTCTTCTTCTTCTCACTTCCTCCGCCATTCCTCCTCTGCATCTCACCGCCTCTCCCTCAGACTCTCTTTTCTCTTGTCTCGTCGGCTTGGGCTGTGCAATGGGAAGGCTTGCTCGCGACAAGGGTGGATTTGAAGGGGTTGGTTGGATTTTATTTTTTTTCCCCTTTTCTCCTTTGAATTGCCCTGACAAGTTTGGGTTGGCTGTGATTTGTGCAAGGTAAGTGTTTGGGTTGGTTGTGATTTGGTCGTGTTTGCAAGGTAAGTATTGGTTGTGATCTTTTGGATGTGCTTTTTGGTATGAGCATTCGCATAGGTAAACCCATGGACTAGAAGCAAATTTGCTTTGGGTTTATCTAGGTACACGAGAGTCTTGAAATGAGAGTTGGTTTTACATGGTATTCTAGACAAGAAGCATAATTCTCAATGGAATGAGAAGCAATTTTTTTTCAGATGTTTTTTCTCAAGTATAAGTGGTTTGAAAAGCAAATTTTTTTTAAATTTTTAAAAAAGCTGATAGTTTACCCAAAGTAACCCGGCCGACCCGAGATTACCCGAGGTAACCGGATGTACGGGTTCTGAGGGCAAGTAGCTTGTTGTGGCCCACTTTTGTCTCAGCCCGATTCTTGGGGGCTGGCCCAACTCTTTGTTAAAACCCTACCCTACCCAGCCGAATTTCACCCTTATATATGTCTAGTATTGTTAATGAATAAAATGAAGAGTTACATTCAGAGTTACAAGCAATGTATATATACTGCCACAAAAACTAAGTAGCAACATATTTTGTATTTGTTCAGTAAGTGGGGGATTTGGAGTGGTTTCTTTGTGCATGTCTAAGATTGATGAAAATGAATACGCCATCAATAAAGCTACATAATTCCATGTTATATTGGTTAAGTAAATCTACCTCTATTTTGAATAGATAATATTCATATTCTATCCACATATTATATCGAGCTAAGAAAAAAATTCATTGAATTCCATTTATAATCAATATTCAAAAGAAAATATCATAGTTTAAAGTGCAATAGTGAAAGAAAAGTGTTGCACCACGGTCAAGCAATCGACCACTCTTTTAACTGCCAAGCGCTGAGACATTCTCAATTGAGAATTGGTCGCTATCGAGGAAATGGTTATATGTGAAATGCTATCAAGACGATGAGAGTTCTTGTAGGATGAGGATATGCGTCGAGAACTCAACCTAAGTTGTGAAGTTCACGACGTCGAGAGAGCAGCCTGGTCAGATTCAAATTAAATTCCATCAAATCAGAAAATGATAAGCTACAACAACTGTCAAAATTCGAATTTAGAAACCAGATAACCGATAAGGGTAATTTCCCAGATTCGGTCATTCAAATATGGAAACACAACTGTCAAATCCTGAGATTTAGGGATGAGGGAATGATCCCTGCGCGACTGGTGATGAGATCTCTGATTTGTGGAAGGCCTATAAATAGAGCCTGCCTCCTTCATTTAGTTTTTTACGCACTACTTTACTACTCTAAAGAGATTGTAATCTTGAGATTATTAGTGCATCCACGAGTGGACGTAGGCAAGGAGTTTTCTACCGAACCACTATAAATTTGTGTTCTTTACTTTCCTGTGATTTTTTCTCAATTAATTCGTGAGTGACGTCTGCGAGTGTTCCCGGAGTGGTTTTATCCCGAGTTGACCAATTTTCACCGTCAACAAAAAGCCTTATATAGAGTAATTGGGGGAACAAGGTCTCATTTTTTTTTATGTGGGACTCTTACGTGTTTAGTTTTTAGAAGTTTTTACACACATAAAAATATAATAAATGTTGTATTAAGAAAATTATAATAAATTCCTTTTGAAACTTAAAATTATCATCAAAAAGCTCTCTTATTCTCTTGTATAGCTACAAGTTTCGGCCGGGTTGAATGGGCCGACTTAAGACTCGTCACTGTTAGTCTGGCCTCGACCCTAAATTTTTAGATTTAAGACTGAGCTGGACCGATCATCTCTCTTTTAGGGTCGGCTCGGCCCCGCCCAAATATCATATTTTTAAAGATTTTTTTAAAATACTTTATAAAATTTTAGGCCAGCTCTAAACTTTTTAAATTTAAAACTGGACTGAACCAACCCTCTTTCATTTAAGGTCGGGCCAACCCCACTCGAAATTTCTTTTCAGACTATCAAACTCAAACCGTGCCAAACCGAACGACCCAAACTTACACCTATATTCTCTTTGGGTGAGTGAGGCTTTTTAACTTCTTTAAAAAAGCGTTGAACATAAATAAATATTATTTTGAACTCGGCGTTGAAATCAAATAACACTTGGGCCTCGTTCATTTCACCGATTCGAGTTTTCAGTTCTAGGTTTCTACAGTAAAAAGCTCTCAAAAAATGTCACATCTAACTTTTTCTGCTACAGTGAAAAGCTCTCAGAAAATATCACATCTCAGCTCGAATTGAAAACTCGAATCTGCGAAGTGAACGAGGCCTTGGACTAGTGGTAAGGCGCGCAATGGATTTTTTTTTTTTGTGGGTTTCTACAATTGAATCTGTTGTTGTATTGGATTCTATTGTCAATTGATAACAAATTCTCTTTGATATTACAAAAAAATGAACATTATTGATACAATTCTTCGCCATAGAAACTCTCGTCAAAAGCTAATCTCGCTTTCTAAGACCATTCCAATATAAATATTAACGTCAATTATATATTTAATATTAAAATGTGTGATATAAATTATTTTAATACCCCGTTTACTTCACCGATTTGAGTTTAGAATTCGAGTTTTGCTACAGTAAAAAGCTCTCAGAAATAGTCACATCTAACTTTTTTGCTACAATAAAAAGTTCTCACATAAAATCACATCTCAACTCGAATTAAAAACTCGAATCAGCGAACTAAACGGGCCCAAAATGTTAATACTAATTGTATATTTACTGTCAAAAAATATTATATAATATGTTATTTCCATTTTTACTCCAATACATAATACTATTTAAAATGCTAAGTCTATGTTTGTTTCATTAGTTTAGTTCAGTTTAACTTAGTTTGAACGGTTGGCACACTTTGAAATAGTATTTGGTAAGCATGCAGTTTGAATTATATTTCCTGTTTAAATTGAGTTGAACAGTTCAATTAGAGCTTAGCTCCCCCCTCAAGTTCAAGTCCGTTCAAACAATTTTTAAATAGTAAAAATGTGCTCACTCTCTCTACTTTTCACACCTACCAAATCCAAATTCGAATTTTATTCCATGCTCAAATTAAACTTTAACTACACATCTAAACATCAATTCAAACTACAATTTAAACTACACAGTTTAAAATTTTCTGTTCAAATCAACAAAATTCAAACTAGCGAACCAACGGCTAAATCTATTTTTTCTCATAATTATTAAGCTTTGAAAGCTGTAAAAGTAAACTTTTATGTTTAAAATAATTAAAAAATGTAAAAGTTGCAATGATTACATGAAAAGTAAACATTTTAACCAATATCAATCAAATGCTAAATTCCCTATAGTGAAAAATTTGTCACAACGTATAGCACATGAGAAATTTAACACAATAAATAGCATTGCATTAGAAAGTATTTTTTGCACTCAAATGCTAAATTTACAATTGCCATATCAATTATAGCATTGCCTTAGAGATGTTCTTATTTTCTTTTTTATTTCAATGCATAGTACTATTTAAAATGCTAAATATATTTTTTTCATAATTATTGAGTTTTGAAAGTTATAAAAGTAAAATTTTATGTTTAAAATAATTAAAAAATATAAAAATTACAATGATTACATGAAAAAATAAACATTTCAACTAATAGTAACCAAATATCAAATTTTTCATTTGTTATACTTAGTGAGAAATTTATCACAAAATATAACATAAGAGAAATTTGATACAATAAATGACATTATATGAGAGTATTTGTTACACTAAAATATTAAATTTATAATTAACATATTAATTATAACATTGCATTAGCACAAAAAAATTTCAAACTAAATAACTAATGGACCCGAGTGACAAGTGGACATGACACATGTCTTGAACACACGTGTCGAACGATCATGACATGCAGTGATGTTTCAGCAATATTGCTCATTGATGGCCTTTGCTATATATATATATATAATATATATATATATATATATATTGGTTTGCTCTAGAAGGGAATGGATAAACGTAGAAAATAGAGGTGTTGGGAATTTGAAAATGCAAGGGAAAATAGGGATTTGTGTATATATTGGTTTGCTCTAGAAGGGAGGGAATGGATAAACGAAGAGAATAGAGAGAATAGAGGTACTGCTGGAATTTGAAAAATGCAAGGAAGAAGAATAGTGGTATGGTGGTGGTGGAGAGGTGTATTCTCAGGCACACCAAGCGGTGGTAGTGCCTCTTGGAATAAGCATCAGCAACTGCGTCTCATGGTCACTACTAAAGCCTCTAACCGTGCCGCCGTTCACGGTACTAGGTTGCCTATCCCCGACCAAGTTAACGTATGTCAGTTTTCCACCTTAACTTCTCCGATATATATATATATATATATGTATGTATATATATGTGTGTGTGTGTGTGTGTGTGTTTTGATTTCATTACCGATCCCCTTCCTACTGGTTTTCTTCTTTCTGATTACTAGATGCTTATAGTAAAAGTGACCCCGTCTGTTTGTTTTTTTTTTCAGAAGGAAGAAGTGGAGGAGGAGATCAGCAAAGCGAAGGAAGAAAAGGAGAGAGGTGGAGAAGATTGTGGATTCCGAAATCAAGAAACCCGATAAACCTTACTCTCCTGTTGAGTGAAATATAAAGAAGATCAACGTTGTATCAAGCTTTATTTTAGATTATTATTCTACTCCTGCTTGGCCCTGGTTTTAATCTTATTTAAGTCGGTTAAACCTCTTTTCTAACATTCTCATGCTTCACAATCTAACATTCCCATGCACAAAAAGAGGATGTCAAACATACTACAAGCCCATCTGCAAGTTGTAATTGGAATTAAGAAGAGGAAATAATAAAAGCTATAAGAACTCTAATTCTGATGCTAATACAAGATATATATATATATATATATATATATAAATTATAGTCATACAAAACAAATTTTAAGCTCTATGTAACAGACTGACAACCGCAGTAGCCAACCTCGTACAATAAAGCAAGGCAGCAGCGCCCTTAGATACTACTAGGAAGAATATTCAGATGTGGTCAAGACATGTATAGTAATTTCAAAAGGTTGAAATGAAAATCTGCATTGGCAAAAGTCAATGGTATTTCCTTGGAAGTTGGAACTAGTGACACTAAGCTGCCCCTTCTGCCACTTCAACGAGCCTCCCACGAACCCACTTTTTAGTAACTGTTACCACTTCAGCAGGCGTTTGTTGGTCATTGGAAATTTCAGCTCTGGCTCCATTCAGGTGAGGCATCTCTTGTTGTTCACTTTCTTTGTTTGGCCCCAATTGGCCATTCTCATTTCTTGGATCGGATTGCTTCATTAGAGTCTCATAACTAAACGACGATAAACCATAGTTACTTGTGCTCGTTGAGAGGAGTCCCTCCTCACCATTCAATATATCTTGCAAGTTTACCTTGCCAAAATGGGAGTCCTCTTCTCTACTTAATGCTAAGATTCGGGTTCCGTTTACTTTCGATGGTTTTGCTTCGGCTGGAACTTCGCCTATGGCGACAATATGCTTCTCAACGTGGCCACCCAGTTCATCTGGTACGGCTGAAGGGTCTTCACCATTTCCTTGAGAAGTGATCTGTTCTGCTTCTATAGACTCGATTGATTGAACTGCTTCAGCTATAAGCTTCCTAGTTTCCATGAGAGAAGCTCGAGCAATAGGGCTCTTCGTTGCTGCAGCCTCAAGGGCCTTGGCTGCCTTTTCAGCTTCAGCAATCAATAATCTGAAGAATGCAACAGAATAGACTCACATTATAGAAAGTTCAAATTAACATATGAAGCAAATGCTCGATTTGGGCAGGATAATGGGTTACTTTTCTCGAAGAACTCAGAGTTGCATCAAAGTTGCTGCAGATTGCGTGTAGTATTTTAACAAGACTTTGAATCGGATTGTGTGCAGATTTTGTGGAGATTTTATTGTCATTATTATCCGGTTTTTGGCGGCTTGTGCAGATAAGAGATAAAGTTCAAATTGTATTAATTAAAAGTTCAAATTGTATTAAGCCAAAAATGGTGGAGTGCGTACTGTGCAAAGGTGGAGTTCAAAGTTTAAATTACGGGAGTTATTATCCATGTGGAACTTTATCTACAAGCTTATCTTATATATATACACACTTGGGTTATCAACGTTAATGTAGAAGTGTGCACAAAGAAAATAAATGCTTGAGCATAGTGTGGATAGCATGAGCTGTCAAAGGAATTGGTTTGAAATTCAAATGTGGTGATCAAGCTATTGGTTTGAAGTTAAGTCGGAATTGATAGAGTTGCTGCACAATCCGAATTTTGTTTGAAAAACAATTTTCTTGAAGATTTGAAAAGGCCAATCCGTGAAAGCAGCGAGATAAAACAAGGAGATAATTGTTGGAGACAATTTGAATTTAAATGGGATTATGATAAGGAGGAGATTTAAATTTGGGATAAGAGTTGCAACGTGAAGATATTATGGAGCTTATTTAGGAGAGAGAATCATGGAGATAAAAAGAGATTCCATCAAAGAGAACAAGTGCATTCCATATGAACTTACCTAGCTCGTTCAATAGCTTCAATCTTCTTGGTTTCTGCAGCGGCTCTCTGTGCTCTGATGTTTTTTATCATCTCCAGCTTAGAACTCACTAAAGGATCTTTGTACAACAGTGCCTTGCGTCTCCCCACCTTTGGTCGGGGTGTTTGGATCTTCATCTCACTCTTGGAAGACTTGTTTGCATCATTCAAATCTTTCTTCGCAGGGCTTCTTGTCGGCGACTGTGAACTGTCACTTGGCTTCCTCCTTGGCTTTCTTTCTGTTCCTGGTTCTATACCATGATATCTGGCCAATGCAGAAACAACCCTTTCACGGTAGCCCTGATTAACAAATGGAAAGGCAATTTGGAGCAAAATTGTTAGCAATCAGTATGAATTAGTAATTACAATAGACACTCAGTTCGGATTAGTCAGCACTATAAGCCACAGTTCACCAATCGCATTCCTGGCCGTCCGCAGAGAAACTAGGGGTAAGAAAGAGGTCCAAGTCACATTTAAGTCAAGTAAAGAAGGATGAAAACTAGAGACTGCTTCTCAAAACACTTACAAAATCAGCCCATTTTCGAGAGATTGCTTCTGAAATTTTCCTCTTCTGCTCGGCGGACTTGGGTGCTCTCTTGCTTCCTTTTGGCCTAGGCATTGATTTTCTTTTCTCAACACTCTCCAACCAGGCCTCCTTAAGCTGTTCATTTAAGACCTCATAGGAATTCCATTGCAGCTTGTCTTCACCATCAAAGCCTCGCCTAGAAGCTTCTGCAATTAAGTTCTGCCACTCGAAGTAGCAAGTTTCCTGCAAAAGTAGCTTCTTGCGTCGCCTTTGCCACCCCATTCGGACTCCAGCCCCAATTTTCTTCCTCGTCGCCAAGCTGTATGATTAACAGAACAGGAGAAAAAAGATCTTGTAATGGTTTGTTTGGAATTGTTAAAGACGCTATTTCAAGCCAATTCAAGACTTGAAAGCTAACACTAATAATTGGAATGGTACAAAACTTACGTCTGAGCATGTCCAAGGTTAACCAACTTCATTTTGACCTGTAGAGGCAAATTTTATAAGTAAAATTAGCAATAATTGAGCCTGTGCACATAATAACATGAAGAACAAATTTTGAGAGGGCAACTTAAGAGAGGTGCCTTATTATAGTGTATGAAACCCGCGATTAGACGAAGAAGAAAGAAAGGTTTTCCTCAGGCACAGACTAGAACGTTACAACTTAGAGCTGTGCCGCGCTGTTAGAATTAAGTTTAGAATTCAGAGATGTGCCTTATTGCACAAAATAAGTGACAAGCCAAAAAGTAAGGAGGACTTCCCTTGGACGCCCAACTGGCATACCAAAGCTCTTCATTTACAGTTGTAGTGAAAATGTGTAGTTTCAAGTAAGACGCAAAACTGAACATCATATAGACAAACCACCGTGATCTTGGATTCTTGGGTAGTTGATCAAAAAATATCTCTATCTCTTAAGTCATCAGACACGTCCCATTCCAATTAATTTAATTTGTTTAGAATAGGAACACATTAAGAACATGCAACTAGAACATGTAAAGTTTATCTTACATGACATCACCTTAGGATCCTGCATTGCAAGCCTTGTATTTTCTCTTATCCGCCGAAGGGTTTCTGCAAATCATTCAAAAATTGTTGCCAATATTTTAGATTATAGAACTAGATTTGACTAAAACAAAACCGAATTTCAATGACCTCACTCACCAGGAGTGTGCTTCTTTCCTTTATTCCATGGCGTGTTCCCTTTATTTGCTTTAGAAATTCTCATCCGTCTCAACCTCTCTTTATCATCTAAATTGTCGAAACCTTCACTCGAAGTCGGAGTCTGAACTGTGGGAGGCCTGTTATCCATACCCAGCTGAGACTTGTTGGGACCCGAGTGCTTATCACCATTATTCACCAAACGCTTGGGTTCAAGTGTAGCAACTGCCTTAATCAGGAGTCCACCACTAGGCATCTCATGGCGTCCCAAGTTAAAGTTCGAGTTTTTAGTTATGCCAAAGAACTTCCAAGCAGATGATAATCTCTTCTCATTTCCAGAAATGAATGGTTTTGATGATATTATTGAAACTTTGTGAGCCCCAAATATACCCAAATGGTTTCCCAAGGCAGGCTGTGTAGCCGCAAACTCTGACAACAAAATTCATTAAACACAGCAAAATAAAAATTGGGAATTTCCAATTACAAACAAATCGAATACACTTATTTCCAGTTCCCAAAAACTCCTAGCAAGTTTCATGATTTCCTTAACAATGAAGCAATTGATGGACTAAAATCCTAAAATTAAGCTGAGTAATTGGCTGATTTGGAAAAGCAAAACCACGACTTCCCATAGTAATAGTAAGCTCAATAAATCAAACTGTGGTACTATATTTACAAAAAAAACAAAAGAAAAAACACACACTCACACACAGCGGAATCAGAATACCAGATTACAATCTGCAAATTAAGAAAACGAGAAAGCTTTTAACAGTAAAGAAAAGAAGAGCATACCGAGTAAATGCATGGGCGCACATTCATCGAAATCCAAACTCAGCAACGGCTTAGCAATGGAGAAGAAGACACGGAGAAGCCGTAACGAAGTCGGTTTAGCATTTCCCGAAACGGAGAAAACTACAAGTGACGAAGCTTTGTTATATGGTTATGGACATGGCAGGAGAGCTTCAAGCTTGGGCTTAAGGATAGAGAGGATTTCTGGAGAAGAAGCGAAAGGAAGGAAGAAGGAAGAGACGCCGCAACTGTGAGAGCCACACACCAGTGAGCAGTCTCTCGCGCACGAATTTTTCTCAAATTTTGTCTGATGACAGTTGCAGAGGCTTGGATAAGTATCCACTATTTCCTACGTGAAAAATCTACATTGGGCCCAACTCAAAAATATCTGGAAAAGAGCCCAGAAAGTAGTATTTGGTGGGCTGGGAGTTTGTGGCCCATGAATTTGTTAGTGCCACTGTGCCAGTTGATGCTTGGCCGCAAGGTAGTACGTCTATTTCATTGCTCATCAACGAGTTAAGCAGAAACATTTTGACCCATATATATATATATATGAGCCCAGAAAGTAGTATTTGGTGGGCTGGGAGTTTGTGGCCCATGAATTTGTTAGTGCCACTGTGCCAGTTGATGCTTGGCCGCAAGGTAGTACGTCTATTTCATTGCTCATCAACGAGTTAAGCAGAAACATTTTGACCCATATATATATATATAAATAATGTAGCACAATCTGATTGATTAGACACCATTCTAAACACTGAAATTAGACGTGTAATTTGAATACATATCTATGTATTGGTACAGAGACTAAAAAAAATGGTCTACTCGTGTCCTTAAAATCAAGAACCTGAACCCTTCGCTATCAATATGATTACTTATTCTGAGAAACGACCGATAGCTACTCTTGGAGTCATTATTGATTGAAAAAAGAACAGTATAAGATCATATAGATTCCAAGTATACTAATTGTCATTGCACATCGCCAAAGTATTTTCCTTCACACTTCGAGCAAACCCCAGTAAAAACAAAAAAAAAATGCAAATATTACACAATTATCACTGTGGATAATATTAAGGTGGGATAGCAAATCAAAAATCACAACAAGTGGACCCTAATCAATCAAATACAAAAGCCTTCCGGCACGGGGGCTCCTTGATTAATGTTTTGTGTGGGAGAATTTGTGATTGTTTTGCGAGTGAGTTCCATAATATATTAGCAACTTCAGCGGCAGACAAAAGCCATCGATTTGCCACTGATTCCTTTGCCTTTGAACCGTATGGAATGCGCATCAATGGTCATGATGGGCATCAAAAATCATTCCAAGTTCATCATTTTGTCCACGCTGTTATTATTGACCTTGGCGCTCCTTCCTTGTGTAAATTCCATAAAATCAAAGCCCAAATTGAGGTAAATGAGTGTACCATATCGACTAGGCTGCCACTATGGTTATATTTAATATATACAAATGATTTGATATATACATATATATATATATATATAGATAAATGAGGTATATTAATGTTTGGACTCTCTTACGGTTAGTTTACTAATCCATCCCAAAAACTTAAGCTGTTAGGAGGTAGGCTAATAATAATTTTTATACTTTAATACTCCCCCTCACGTGTGGGCTGGACAATAAGTAATCGTATGGGTAAATTAATTAAAAAACCCAACACGTGAATATTTAAGCTCGAGATATATTAAATACCCAATACATGATGATAATTTAAATGAGGATAAAGAGTGTAATTATGAGAGTTTGAACTCAAGACCTCCCACCCTAATACTGTGTTAGTTTACCAATTCATCCCAAAAAATTAAGCTGTTAGAATGTGGACCAATAATAATTTTTATACGATAACACTCACTTTCTTAAAGAAAGAAGCCGGTTTCAAAATTTAAATGTGGATCAAGGGCAGTTCTAGAATAGAAACAAAAAATATGGAACAAAAAGTTCAACAAAGGATGGAAATGGAGTCAGAAATAATTAAGACTCTAAAATCAAAAGTAGGTGGTCATTAGGTGTTAGCTCCATTGAGATTTGAGTTTAAAAAATGAGTATTTAGCATAACCCCCACATGATAATGTTGGGCCTGCCTTCCCCTGGCCCCACTAGTGGTGCCTTTTGTTTAGATATTTAATTATGTTTAAATTAAATTAATCACCCCATGTCCTTTAACCTTTGCTGAAGTGCTATAAATTTCTATTAACCTCAACGTTCCCCTGCTATTTAACTTGTAATTTTTGTGATGTAGGAAGGTTTTGGTTGTGTATTTTTCTCCAAATGGTGGAATTTGTTGTGTAGAGGAATTCTATGACTATACAGTCGTTTTGGTAGTTAAGTCCACACTAGAAAGCCCCCAACTTCACGACAATAATCACAAATATTGCGTATTGACCAATTTTACTGCCAAAATGGTGGAATTTCAGGAGTTAGAAGTGATGAACGAGGAAAATTAGTGTTACTCATTTTGTTACTTTTTATATTTATTATTTGATATTTAGACTTTATTATTTTATTTTCTATCTAAATAATATTATATTATATTAGTGGACGTTTGGTTCACAAATTATGAATCATTCTCGGTTTACGTGTGTTTTTTGTGAGAGAAAATACTGTAATGGATTACGAATAATAATTCGAATAATGACACAAATCCCCATATTAAACACCCAATAAGAAAATAATAAAAAGAGTAACGCTAATATTTCTCCTCATAAATTTGTCTAGAAGCACAATTTAAAGCTTGTTAAATATGTGCCACTACTTGATTATGAATTATTTTTCGGTTTACGTGTATTTTTTGTGAGAAAAAATACTGTAGTAAATTACGAATCATAATTCGCATAATGACACAAATCCTCATATTAAACACCCAATAAGGAAATAATAAAGAGAGTAACGCTAATATTTCTCCTCATGAATTTGTCTAGAAGCACAATTTAAAGCTTGTTAAATATGTGCCACTACTTTTTACCACCCACCCAACTCCATTTTGTGGCAGCATTCCAAAGAGGATTCACAGAAACATCGTTTATATTGCAAGTCCAAACTCCATTGCCTTGCATAATTAGATAGACCGGTCTTGTAATTTGGTCATTCTTTCATTTATTCTTTCACATTTTGATTCTTTGAACGTGTTATATGCCTCAAATTGACTAGCAAAATTTTGAATGCTTCAGTGCCCTTAGAAAAGTCGTAGACCTCGTTTTAATGTCGTCGTTAGTTTGGTTAGCCATCTCTCTCATACAGTAAAACTGAAATCCTCTTCAACCTTTTCTGGGTTTTGTCGTTGGTGTGAACTCATTTTCTTCTGCTTCACTAGTTCGTCGAAACGACGGGTGGAGCTAAATCCTGACATTTTTTTGGTTTCCTTTTACTTGATCTTTATTGGATGATCGGTTTGAATTTTGAAACTACATTTGAATAAGTTAATGGATTAAAGAGTAACGGGGGATTCCTAATGGCTTGGTTGGTTCTCTTTACTTTGTTTACTTTGTTCAATCCTTCTCCCATGGCTTCAGTTAATTTTTTTTATTGCAGTTTGTGTTTTTACCGTGTTTTATGGATTTTATTTCATTAATTTGAGTTTTATTGTTATATTTAACTTTTTCTCCCACGGTAAAAAATTCTCATATAAAATTATTTCTCAATTTAAATTAAAAATTTAAATCCGTAAACTTAACGAGACTTAAATTTGTAGAGAATGAAAAATATAATGGCAATACTTGTAAATAAAAGCAAAAAAATGGTATCGCTTAACACTCTGGGTGCGTTTGGAACTCGTTCTTAAATGATTTATTTTTTGTATGAAAATAGAAATGAAAACGCTTTCAATCTCAGATAAAAATTATTTTTAAAAATACATTTGGTAATTTTATCAAGAGATTATTTTCAGTATAAAAAAATTCATTAAATCCATTAATGTCTATAACCTAAAAAATAAAAAATAAAAAACGACTCATTTTACACTAAATTAAAAAATTATTTTCATTTATATTTTTTTATTTTTAATTGTGTCAAACATCATTTCTCTTCTATTTTTATTTTTATCAAAAAAACCTAAAAAGTAAAAATAAAAACAACTTCAAACGCATCCTTTGTTTCATCACTGCTTGTCATTAAAGAATTTTCAACGTGTCAATTGTTTAGAGCAGCGTCTGATTAAGAGTATGTAGAACCGGCGGAATTTAGCACTGCTCTCAATACAATTTTACCTGCAGTTCAGATGTGAAATTGGGTTTTTTTTTTTTTTTTTTTTTTTTTTTTTTTGTATGTCAACTAAGAAATTGGATGATACGGAGTTGCGAAAAGAACCGTAATAGTAAGAAATTATTAAAGACAAAGACTTGTTTTGTCAACATTCTTCCTCAAACTGGTCAATGATTATCTCTTTTGACTACTCGATGAACCATATTGAAGAAGAAAACAATAGAGAAGAAGCATTGAACATCCATAATCTTTTGGCTAATGCAACTATCAAGTCGTTGTACAATTGTATATGATACGGTAAGTTACTGATTGATTTAAGTGTGTTAACTAATGCATAATACAAATTAACAGTAAACTAACTAAACTAATGCCATAGCAGGCGTCAAAAGAGAAGAAAATTGAAGGGGAGGAAGAATTGAGAAAGCGACTTTTGGAGGCAAAGTCTTCTTCAAATGTCATTTTTGGACCCCAAAAAAAAGTTTTTTTTTCTCTCTCCTCCCCAAGAAAGTCAAGTCTTTGAATACTAGTGGGAGGTATCTATATGACTATTATATTATATTTATTAAGAAAAATACTGACGTAATTATTATTTTTTATATTTATTTTTTAACATTTAAACTCTATGACATATTAGATGAGAAAAAGATACAGAGAAATTAAAAGATCGTTTATTTTATCGATTTAAATTTTAATACATTAAAATTTTTTTAAAAATAATCACATTTAATTTTTTTATTATAATAAAAAATTCTTACATAAGATTATATCTTAACTCAAATTAAAAATTTAAATTAATGAATTAAACTAGTCCTAATATTTCTCGATCCAATATCTATTTCTGTCGTCTGCTTCTTCCATACTTTCTTCGAAACACCCCCGTTACGTCTTCTGCTTCGCCTTCCCATCCATTTCAAATTTGGACTGCAACTTCCTTTCGACCACCATTCCAAGAACAAGTCCAACTTTCTCTCTTTCTCATTTTTCAACCAAAAAACGAAAATCAACTCCTCTTCTTCGTTTTCTTTATATTTAAACCCATCTTACACACTCTTCTACTTGGGGGGAAAAAAAAAAAAAAAAAAGCTTTGAACAAAGCCATAAACAAGCTCAGAATTTTCAAACTAGACTAGGGTTTTGAAGATCAAATCTTTATAGAAACGAGTTTCAATCAGCGACAATGGGAGAACCAACTCGGTTTGATCGATCATTGGACGATTCCAAGGCCGTGGAGCTAACGGGGAGAATAATGGTGGTGGCGATCATAGTCTTTTTCGTGGTCGTGGTGTTCGTAATCTTTCTCCACTTATACGCCAAGTGGTTCTGGTGGAGGATCGAGGAGGACGCGGCGGAGTCCGGCCAGCAGCAATCCCGCCGGCGACGGCGCCGTTTCGTCTTTGCTCCCGGTCAGGACCCTACCGTCCCTGCTCTTCGGAGAGGCCTCGAGCCTTCCGTTCTCCGATCACTTCCGGTGCTGGTTTACCGCGCGGAGGACTTCAAAGAAGGCCTTGAATGCGCGGTTTGTCTCTCTGAGCTCGTCAATGGCGAAAAGGCCAGGCTTTTGCCGAAATGCAACCACGGATTCCACGTCGATTGCATCGACATGTGGTTCCAGTCGCACGCGACTTGTCCGCTCTGTAGAAACTCGGTATCTCCCGTGAGTTCGTCGGATTCCACTGGCTCGGAGAATGTTCCGGAAGAGAATTTGAGCTCCGATTATACGTCGGGGGTTCCGAATTTCCCTACAAATGTTTTGTTTTGGGGAGACGAGACTCAGGTTAGCTCCGGCAATGCTTGTTTGGAAGAAGGTCCGTCTTTTCAATCTCAACCCTCGGCTGTTGTTCCTTCCTCTTCGTCGTCCTCTTCATCTACGACTAGGATTGTTGGTGCGTTGGTGATCGATATACCGAACGAGAACCCGGCGGCGGCGTCTTCACTATCTCCTTCCGGCGACGAATTGAAGTCGCCGGTAACGACGAGGTTGAGGTCGCTGAAGAGGCTTTTGAGCAGGGAAAGAAAAGTGAGTCCTTGTAGTCCTAGTTCTGGAGATATTGAGCAACCAATCAGAGGACCGAGCTAAGAAAATGTTTTATGAGAAAATTGGATGTTTGGATTTAGTTTTACTCCAGTCTCCAGCCATGTTTGTACACATTTCACATTTGGTATTGGAGCTTTGAAGAAGAAAATCTGAGGAAAAGGGAAAGGTTTTGGTAATGAGAAAAACTACTGCTTGAGAGGGTCTGATATTGATTTATTACTTGATTCTATCATCCCAGAGAATTACTTTTGGAGATGCACAAAACAACGTTGTACATTCTTTCGTTGTTTTTGCTCAGTGTCTGTTTTTGTTTTTGCTCTGCATCAGCATTCTATACAAAAGAGATGTTTGTATACTTGTTCTTAGAAACAGATTGCATAACCATTGTTTGAAATGAATGTATATTGTAAAAAAAAAAAAAAAAAAATTTATCTGCACAAAACAACATTGTACATTCTTTCGTTGTTTTTGCTCAGTGTCTGTTTTTGTTTTTGCTCTGCAACAGCATTCTATGCAAAAGAGATGTTTGTATACTTGTTCTTAGAAACAGATTGCATAACCATTGTTTGAAATGAATGTATATTGTAAAAAAAAAAAAAAAAAAAGTTTATCATTTTTAGATTTGATTCTTATGAGCTTAATTGGTTACACAAAAGAACAAAAATCTCCCATTGTTCATAAATGCAGACAGTTTATTTAAGAAAATAATTATTTGATCATTTTTTGAACTCATATTACTGCTCAAAAGCTAATAACACGAACAGGCAAGCACCAGTATTCTTCCAATGGCAATATCCCCTCGGTTGTGGGAAAAAGATTCCATGGTGTCTTCTGACTTTAAGAAACGCCCTTTTTGTTTTTGAGGAGTTATTTAGGCCATGTTCATTTCGCTGATTCGAGTTTAGAATTCGAGTTTTGCTACAGTAAAAAGCTCTCACAAACAATCACATCTAACTTTTTATAACATGAACAGGCAAGCACCAGCATTCTTCCAATGGCAATATCCCCTCGGTTGTGGGAAAAAGATTCCATGGTGTCTTCTGAAAACGCCCTTTTTGTTTTTGAGGAGTTATTTAGACAGGTTCATCAATATAAAAGATGTAACGTGTACGTGATATTTTCTGACGTACAAAAAAGGAAAGAAAAAAATAATAAATAATAAATAAAAAAAGAGTTTACTCCGATATCTCTCTTGCTCTCTTTCAAAGGGGAGACTGGTCAGCAGTTTTGGACACACATCACACCTACTCCCCATTTGGGCATTAAAGTTGTAATTTCTCCTAAAAATACATGCGAATTGATTTTAAAATAATTTTATTTTTAATAAAAAGTAAAAATAAAATTATTTTAAAAATTATTTTGAGATTAATTTTAAAATTATGTTCGATTAATTTTTTAAGAAATTATTTTGAGTATAATAAAAAAATAAAATCACATTTATTAATTAATATATTATAATATTATTGATAAGTATTAAAAAAATAAAAACAAAAAAATAAAAATAATTTCTAATTGTTTTTTAATTTTTTCATAAGAATTATTTTCATTATTTTTATTTTTATTTTTAAAATATTTACTAAACAAACGTCGTTTTATTTTCATTTTAAAAACGGTAACATTTCACAAGCCTGCTATTTCAGAGGCTTTTTGAGACTTCATAACAGCAAAAGGGCATTCCCCCCCCCCCTCAGTAAAGTGAAAAAGGAAAAGGAGACACAGCATATCGTGTTTGCTAAGGTTGTTGATTAAAGTCGGACTCACATCATGTGAGTAGAAACATCAAACACAAAGGTGAACTCACTATTTCAAAGAGCCGGTAGTGAGATGACAATGACATCCTGCTGCACAGGGCTTAATTTCTTGGGTTAGAATTGAGCTTCTTCAATGATTTATCTCTGTTTATCCAGTTCCCATATCCCAAAGAGGACTAAAAACAAATTATCAGAAATTATATCAGTAGAGATGAGAAAACTGAGATCATCAAAGCATGTTTTCTGCCAATTTCAATCTAAAAACCGTGTCAAATACGAACAAAGAACATAAGAACACATTTTATTTTCACCATCCTAAATTTGCTACTATTCCATGACGTGAACTCTCCTTGAGAAACAAAGTAAATCCAAAACTCAATACCTTATCTCAACTACTTTTTCTAATGGTGGTGTACTAAGTTACTAGGTAAACAGGTCCATAAGTCCGAGCACCACCAAAACGAGGAGTATTAAGTTTGTCAAGACACATATAAGGTATCTCAGAATCAGCTTTCCTCGCGGGGCTGAAAAGGCTGCTGAGAGGTCCAGATGTCAGACGCCGAGGCCTGCCATCTGTATCCTTGCCACTGCTATGATAAACTGGACCAGATGCAAAACCTCGTTTTGTAATTGAAACGTGAGAAAAGTTGGCCTCTTGTTCCATGTGATGCTTGCTCTTTTTCTCACCTTTCCACAATGGCAAAAGGAAAACTTTCCACGGTTTCCACGCTTTCTTCTTCTTGTTCTTTGTTTCCTCTTGGTGCGGTTTTATCTTTCCATCTTCTTCTGATTCGGCTGATGAGATGATCCCAAAATCTGTTTTTCTCTCATCGCGCTTTGCTTCCTCCAAGAACTGAACAAGATAACATGAGAAAATGAAATGAGAATGAAGAGAAATGAAATGAAAAAGGAGCAAAAATCAAACAATTAGACATCATTACCTGAGAAAAGTCAGCACGAGGATCATAATCTTCATCGCCATTGTAATGGTTTGTCTCATGGTTTGGGTACAGACGAGATTTCTTCATTGTTGCCTCAGGAAAGGAGGAGAATAGATGAAGGGAAATCTTCTTCTTCGAGTTGTAAGAAGAAATAGCTAGACGGATGGTGGAATAGGAAGAGATTTTGTGGCAATATTAAGGATTCTTCCTGGCATTAAGGATTGGATTCATGAATTTAGATTTAAAAAGCAGAAATGGAAAGACCAACTATCACAATGGCATTGCACCAATAAAGTATCAATTTAGAGTGACCATTTTGGGCAGTAAAGTTGGCAGTGTTAAGCTTTCCCCATATAATGAAATCAAATCTCCCCTTTATCTTCAGAAAAAAAAAGTTCAAATCTATGTTTTAATGTTTGTTGTTCTAAATGCTGTATTATAAAATGCCATTTAATGAAATAGGATGCAAAAGACATGTAAAAATTAGTTAAAAGCACTATAAAATTTTTAAATCACGATGTGGTTGGTTAAACACTATTGAGACACCAAAATTAATCTAAATCCCCATATAATGCTCTAAAAAAAAGTGAAAGGTAGATACCAACCCATTTATCACATCTACATATACCAAAAGGGACGCACGAATTAGGGGGGAAAGATACTTACACGGCCAAGTGCTAAACCCAACTTCAACGTTAAGAAGACAGATTCATCAGAATCTTGATCACTAATGAGAAGGCTAAGCACTTACCAGACCAAAAGAAAGATTTAAGGCTAGTTAATAAATGATTTAATTGGATTAGTACTGATTTGACCTTGCTGTGCACCAAACCCACATGATCATTAATAAACCGCATAAAACAAGGGAACCCCACAATTTGCTTTGAACTTTTGGTATCAACTTCATAAAACCCCGGTACAGTTGCTGACCACAAGTTTTCTTTTTGTTTTCCCCAAATTGTCTCAAAATATATGATTTTCTTTCGGTGGAGAAATAAATCATTAACTACGAAATAAACCTTCAATAAGAGATAGGAAGGGGAAAAAACTAAAAAGTATATATCTAGACTATCCTATATATAATTCAGTTGAGAAAATCTTCAAAGATAAATTATAAAAAATAATAATAATAAAAAAAACCTAGCATGGTAACTTTTTGGCAGTGGAGGTGCATATTATGATATTGATGTGCATGCGACCGGTGATTGCGGCGCATTTTACGGGTTCCCTAGGTTTTTTATTTATTTCTTTTTATTTAGAGCTTGTGTTTGATGAGTTTAACGACAATTACATGAATGCAACAATAGTCAACAATTATTTCTAGTTTGAGTGATCCGAAAATCAATCTCATGGATTCTCTCCTCCTTTTTCCTTCTCTCCCTCTCTAATGAGAACAATTCCATCACTGGATTCAAGGAGTCCATAAAAAAACAAACTTATCTCTGCGTGACGACGAAATAAAGAGCATGTAAAAGTATTTTAACTTTATGTCCTGTTTGATTGGAGGATTCGTCCTCTGATTCGAATCATAGTTCATGATTCGCTACAATATTTTCTCTCATAAAAAACATACGTAAATCGAAAATAGTTCTAATCCATGAACCAAAAGGGCTCTTAATTTTACATGCATGGTTTGATTACAAAACAAATAGGTAGAGTAAGAAGAAGCATAAAAAAAAAAAAAAAAAAAAAAAAAAAAAAAAAAAAAAAAAAATTTAGTGTGCTCGTGTAGTGTTATAATACCAGCAAAGAGTCCCAAACAGAAACTCCCACTAATACTATAACAAGATATCATAGGCATGTCATGTTGAAACATTGACTAGAGAAACTACCAAACATTGACATAGAAGATGAAACATCAGTCAAGTGACTCAACTGAGTCTCCTTGGTAGTCCTCTATACAAAATCATGTTAGATACAGCACAAAACTAAGGAGCATTTTGATTTAGTCTCTTAACTTGCATAAGCTTATCTCGACTGACCACGGTATATTTTCCACTTATCATTGATACTAAAGTTGTATAAGCGGAAGTGCCATCACAAGGCCAAAGATAGAAACCAGCAACAACAACATCCAAGTTGGTATTGACTGTTTTCTGTCTTTCCTCCCGTCCTTCCAATCATCTACTCTTTTCACATCTCCCGCTGAATCATTAACCTTTTCTAACAAGGGCTTGGACTTGTCTATCTCCGATGTATCCGCGGGCACCTGCTCTGGAATAAGTTGCTGCTGCTGCTGGTTATACTTATCCACATACTCGGGAAACATTTTCCGAAATGTAGCGCTGTTACATGAGGAAAACTTTCAGGCATAAATATACGCTGTGTCCAACCTCACAACTTAAGTAAAGAAAATAAGCAACCCAGTCATGAGTCCCCAATTGCCAACTGTCAACAAACAGTTATAAAAAGGGGATTCACACTAGAATGCGACCTGACTAGACTAAGAAATGCAAGAAAATAAGGACATTGCAGTTTTACAAATATGAAGGTGCCCAATAACATCCGATTCTCTTTTATTGCAGGGAAGAACACCATATTCATGATTTCATGTGTCTACGTCCCTCAAATGCAAAGGCTAGACACATGTGTAACATATAAGTTTTTGTCTATCCAGCAGACTTACTTCTTACAATTGAAAGCAAGAGAAGCCTTTGCCAAACGTTGCTTCTCCCCAACAGTACTGTTCACGCTGCCGGTTGTAGGGCTGTTGTCCATCTGCATTTTAGTATAATCGTCAGATGAACATATCCTTTTGAAAAGATTTAAATGTAGACTAGAATAACGGATTCAAAGTGGACTAACCATGAATGAAAGAAGCCCTTGAAGTATGCTGCATTATTCAAGGAGCACAAATGTTAGTGGACAGTGGTATCAGATTACTGAAGTCATTTCCTTGCAGCTTGTTGATACTTCAAGAAAACAAATCAACACAAAACATAGACCTCGACTTACCTCGATACAGACCACATAGGATTCCAAGTTTCCGGATGAACTTCAAAAGACAAAGTCAAGAATTACAAATCATCCGTCAAAAGATAATCTAAGAAATAATCTCTGCATACTACTGCATAAAACTTACAATCACTCATAGATAAGCATAATTTCCGCTGCGTCATGAAGCGTCCACTGGGAGTAACCATGCTGCAGAATTCACAAACATTAGCAAAATATCAGAAGCCACCAACGGAGTATTTAAAGAAAATACGCTAGCTTTGGAAGGACATATAAATTAACAGCAGCACATATATCACAAAAAAGTTGGGAAAAGCACATTACGTAATTCCTGGAGGCTTGTATGGATACTCTGGAGGAAATTTGATCTTCCCATAGTAATATCCACCTTATGAGGATAAGCACAACGAACAAATGATGACAAAAATGCACAAGGTCAATAAAGCAAACAATCATAAGAAAAATACAACATAATAATGAATCTTGTTAGTACAAAATACCACACTGGAAAAAAAAAAGTTCCCCCTTGGATGGGACCAACCTGCAAAAGGTGTTCCTTCACTTCCCTCCAACACATAATCTGTGACATAAAAGGGAAAAAGAAATGGATAAAGTGCTACTGAATCACGGAAATAATCTCACTTAGAACACAAGAGATAAACAAGCAAACACATATCATATATAACTGTTCTTAACCTACAAAAGTACGAAGGAATTATATATGAAACCTAAATGTCCCAATACAAAATTCATAATTTAAAAATATCAAGAAACGACATATCTGCTAAGCGGCAAAATCAGTAATTAATTTTAGGGGGAACCAGCTTTTTGCTTATACAAAAATTGTCTATACAATTACTACAACTGAAAGTTCAAGTATGACAAAACTGTTTATAACTTCATTGAAGTCCAGTTACAAGAACTCTTGCCAATAATAATAATCATTTGTTCGGCTCTTATATAGTCAATAACTAATTGATAATGGAAGAGAATCACAAATCACAACATTAAAGAGGTATAATACAATTCTTTGAGCTCAACTTCGTTAACTATATGAAGAATTAAGCAACTGAAGAATTAAGCAACATTAAAGCAGTTTCCCAGAGTAACAACTAACAAAAAAATCAATTAAAGATACAGTCCTTTAGCCAAAGAAATAAAGCAAAGATGCAGTCACCTAGAAAACAAACAAATCAGACACTATTTCCAGCTTGATTTAGGGATACCTCAAAAGTGTTCTCAAATCTGCAAGCTCCAATTTTTGCTACTCACTACTCAGCTTGCATTATCTTTTAATTATCGACAATCTGTGCCGTCCCATTTAATGATTTCAGCAATTCCTTAAATCACCTTGCAATTGCAATTTTCTTACAACACATTTTGACCAATGTTTAATTACGGGCAATATAAAAATAACCTCACAATTGACTTCTTTTCCCACTAAATATTAGATTAAAGCAGGAATGTGTCTTCTAAGATGATACAGAAACAGGAATAGAGGAGAAAGTTGTTCAACCAATAATCATGCATCCAAGAAAGTTTCACAGAAGTTCCACATGTATCAGATTAGTATAAACTTACGCCATTCGAGAATATCATTTGGGGAAGGATGAGCCACAACATGGGAAACTGGTTCCTGTAAGTTTCCAAGTAACGCAATAAGTATCAAGGAAATTCCAGCGTAGAGGGGGGAAAGTCCGCTTGACACTTGACCAAACAAACATTGTTGGCACCAAGACTTGGACAAGCCAAAACCCCAAAGTTACAGGATAAGTAGTAAAGTATGTTTTTTTCATCTTGCAATAAAAATCGATAATCATGAATTCATAAAACAAGAGGTTCAGACTTTTCTCATTTGAATAGAACTATGGGTGATTCAAATGACGACAGTATTACATACTGGCGATATACATAAAGCTACGGAAAAGAAAAAGAAAAAAAAAAAAAAAAACGAATATTTAAGCAAATGCAATTCAATATTCATACTTTGCAGAGCGCTCTATACTCTTTCTGAAGGCGTTTGACGCATGATTTCTCAGCCATATCCTGAATTTTACAATTGTAAAAGGATATCAAATAAACTGCTAATCGCTCCTGTATTCTCTAGAGCAAAAAATACAATGACCTGTTTTCCAGATAGACATTAAGAAAGAAAAATGTGAGAGTATATACAATAAACATGATCAACCAAGGAATTAAAAATTAACCAGAAATTGAGCTCCATTCTCGACTATTTTCCAGAAAGAGAGAGATTTTGTTCATCCGTTCCAGAAACTTACCACTTACAAGCACTCTGATCTTTCAAATCACATAAAATATTTACGGTTTACGGGTTTTCGGCAGAAAATCGAATCGAAAAGAAAAGGAAAAAAAAAAAAAAACTTTCAAATTAAAACATCTACTTTTCCCAATTTTTGTTCTTCCTGCCAAAACAATAATCGAAGTTCGCTCGCAAAAGTGCGTATTCGCATACGGATCATGAAATTAACTCAAAAAACAAAATCAATTATCTCAATCCCAAATTCAAAAGCCAATAAAAGAAAATTCCAGATACCAAAATATCGACATATACACACGTATATACATCTAGGAATCAGAAATGACAATCGAATCGAAAAAAAACCAAATCAAGTAACCGGAAAAACTCATACTCGCGGTGATCAAACAAATCGAAATCCGAGAAACAAAAAAGCATAACCAAAGAGGAAAAAGAAGAAAGGAAAATTTGAAACAAACCTGATGAGATCGGGTTCTGGAGTCAGTGATAATGAATTAGAAATCAATTGGCTTTGTTCGTGCGCACAAAAAGCTAAAAGGAGTGTTTTTTAGATGCGTTAAGCTGACAAACATCTCCAATTATTTTTTTATTTTTAAATAAATTGCAATAAATTGACCAGGGTAAAGGGTACGGCTTGGTGTTGTTTCCGTTAGATCAATCTTGAAACGTAAATCGTTGTTGTGAGTTTGAGATTGTGGATTCTGATTCTCACTAATTTCCAAACTTTTTTTTTTTTTTTATTGAAAACATCACTAATTTCCAAGCTTTAGCTAAAGCCTCATTCGCCAACTGGTCCACGTAGGTTAAACTTGGACCCAGTCCCGTTTTACTTTTGCTTCTAGAAGGTCCCGTCCAATTAGGTAAATAGGCTTTGTTTTTTTTTTTCCCTGAAATCTTACTGTTCGCGCTTCATTTTTATTCCTTACTCTTAATTATTTTTTTTATTAAATAAATATATTAATAAAAATGTATTAATTAAAAATAAGAGTTAAAAATTTAGACTCATATTCTTTTAAGAATAAAATCAATAATTTTTTCTTTTTTAAAATAAAAAAAAGAACTTAAGGCTTTGATTTAATGTCGTTTTCAATTGGATGTGCTATGTAACATATTTTAAAATTTAAAGAGTTGTCACAATTTTTAATTTAAAGATCAATCCGTCAAACACGTAAAATTCAGGAGGTCCGATGCAAAAATGTGCTTTTTTTAAGAAGAGAGGAATACTACTTTTAGAAAATTAACATTTTTTCTTTGCTAAAAAGAGAAATGGTATTCCTTTCAAAAAAAAAAAAAAGACAGAGAGAGAGAGAATTGGTATTTGGATATATCATTTTTGTGAAAGTTTTAAATCTAATTTACACATAATAATAGTAATACTGGTAAATAAATAGACTCAAAATTTTGAGACGGCCTTTATTTTAACTAATAATGTTGAAAGAAGGTACGGGGTAATGTAAAGAAGAACACATAGGAGCGATAGTCTCAAATGTGGTATCCATGCCAAATATCTTCTTACTATTACCCCTCTATCATATACCATTTATTAAGTAGAATTTGTTATAGATTAAGAGAAAAAATATATATATCTTATTCATATTCTGATACGACCCTCGGAATATCATTTCAGAATATATCTTATTGATATTCACTATTTGTAATAACGAAATCATTTCAGAATCATATTAGCTGAAAAAGCAGAAATTTTCAACAAGTTTGATAAAAATTTAATAGTCGAGAAATGCAACAAATATTAGTATTGCGAATTAAAAGTTAAAAACATAAATAAAGTACGGCCGACTAGCCGACAAGATCAAAAGAAGTCCTAAAAATGAGTTTGAAACTGGAACGTTTTGCTACGCTTTTTCTCTTTTTACTTTGCTTTTGTAGTGTAAATCTAATGTCCCGTTTATTTTATCGTAACTCTTAAAAATAATTATATTTAATTTTTTTTTTTTACAAAAATAATAAAAAATAGGTCAATAAAAAAAATTTAAGAAAGTATATAGACTAATTTTTAATTATAAAAATTAATAGGCCATAACTTATCAAGTTATGGTTTATAACCATATAAGTTATGAATAAACTTGTCAAGTAATGGTTCATAACCAGATAAGTTATGGACAAAAATCGTAAATTATAGACAATAACTTGTCAAGTTATGGTTCATAACCAGACAAGTTATGGACAAAAACAGTAATTTAACCTATTTATTAACTTATGTAAACTATTTGCCTATTAATTTTAGTTCATCTCAAATCTTAACCTATTTTTCTCTTTCTCCCCAAAACAAATTCAATTGACCAGAGAGAGACCAATCGTTCAAACTTTGAAGCTTCATCTCTCTTACCAAACCCCACCAATTCAGTTAACTCCCAAAATAGCTGTAACCCCACCACGTTTCTGTGGATCCAACACTTGGATAAACAAACAACACAGATAATCACAAATATAATATCAACCCTCTTTTAGCTTTCCAAGAAAAAAGGGTCAATACCAATAGCAACCATCACGTGCCTGATCACATGATCTCCCTCTGTAATATGTATTACTATTTGCACCCCCCCAAATCTGAAGGTCAGAGTTGCAACATGTAACAGTAAAAAATCCAGCACATGATCCCACTGTTATCAGATCCCCATTTTGAGTTCTACTATCGTTTTAAAGCAGAAAAGTAGGTATAAAACAACCACTAAACTCACTATTATTATACCATATGGCTTGACTATAAGCTTGGAGCTACAACCATCTTCAATGTTCACCATTCACTGAGAAAAGTAAGTACCAAGTCAGAGGATAATGAAAGCCTGGTCTAGAGTTTTGGCTGCTCTCGCACTTTCAATTTCTCTCATTCTATCGTCCTTGCCTTGTGGATCAAGAGCGGCGGCACGTCCGATAGCGAAAGCGCATTCTTCTTCAGCATCAAAGCCTATTTCATCCTCCCGAGCTAACAGAGATTTGCAGGCCAACAAGAAGACTCCTTTCAAGCAGCTCGGCTCGAGTTCCCGAAGGATACCGCCGAGCACTTCGAATCCTACGCAGAACAAGTAATCATTCCTACTTTACCAACAGTTTCAACCTTCTTCACCTAGTTGGAAGATTTCATGTAGCTTATCTATAATACCTTCTTGCTCTGCCAGGTCCAACCCTCCCTAGCATGGCTGAAGTTAGAGGTAGTTAAGTACACAAGTAAAGATACTGAGATCTCCACAATATCTAGATTTCTTTTTCATTCATTTCTAGTTCCTACAATTTTTTTTTTTTTTTTCCTTCTTGTATACAGCAGTTTTCAAACAATGCAGATGGTTCATGTAATGCAAGTATTGTAAGATTGCAATTTTGGGGTAATTGAATAGAAGCCTTTTCTTTTCTTTCTTTCTTTTTTTTTCTTTTTTTTTTTTTTCCTTGAGTATAGAGTTACAACATTGAAAAACTTTGTAAAATCATCTTAAAGAACGGAAAGAACCAACAAATACTGAAATGAGTAACACTAGTAACTTCTCCAATTCAGTTGTATACTTATCTGCTTTTGTCAAAAATTACTAACACGGAATAGTTGTTTATCCAAACCATTATCTTTCTTCTGCCACTCCAAGACTTCTGTAGTCCTCTTCCCCAGTAGTAGTAGAATTTGCAGCTACGAAAAGAAATTTTACAAAATTGGATTGTAAAACCGATGATCCACATTAGGAGCATAAGACTAGATATCCCCTTTCTGGCGTTTCCTCTCCAATCTGTCTGCAGATTTGTCTGACCCACCTTGATTCTCTCTCTTCTTTGACCAATTATTTTTCCCTTTCGAGCCATCACCATCTACTGCAGTTCTTGCATCGTTTTTCCAGTGCTTTCCGGACTTGTGGGACCTGCCTTTAAAGCCCGAATTGCTCAAAAATGGCACCGGAGAAGCTAGGCTATCGTTGATTTCTTTCCTCATTTTCTTTATCCCTTCTGGCCGTGGTTTCTCCTTGGAAGTATGAGCAAGAAAGTTGCCGTGTTTTGATGACTTGATTTCACCAGAGCCAAATGTGGCATGAAATTCTTTATATGCTGACTGTTTTGATTCTTGTTTTGACCTCCACTGATCAGGTCGAGCAGCAAATCTGTAATTAACAGGTAAAGGTTAAGGGGGGAAAAATGCCAAGATTCAACCTATAATAAGCTACAATGAGCAGAAACAGATAATGAAAGATGCATTCTATTTGTATTCATCTGTGTGGACTGGATAGCCTAATATAATAAATGTATAGACCATTGACCAGAGACACAAAGCAATGATATATTAGCATAAGAATCCAACTATTTTCAAACAGAATATAACCAACCGCTTACCCATCAACGTCTAGTTTCCTTATGAGATGAGGACCTTGCTTTGTCTTCGAAAGCTCGCTTCGCACAGCTGACAACTCGGATACTATGGCCTCTTGCAGTGAGATATTGCTGGTTGCAAAACATTTATCAACAGTAAATGAACCAGGCAAGTGCATTGAAAGCTCTCCAAAATGTCCGCGGAGCCTGCAAAGCAACAAAAATTGTAATTTTAAAAGTGAAAGTAGAAGCAGATTCTCGGAGATATACATGTTACCAATAAAAATGTTTAACATACTTTGCTATTAAACGACGTTTCAGTTTTGCAGAAACACTCGAACTTAGAAAAGCTTCAATGACACGAGCACCTCCTGTATTTTTTGCTAGGTCTAGGACATTGTCATCTTCCATCGATAAGATACTTGTAACAAAAGGTTGTATAAACTCCTGAACAGTATAAATGCATGATATGGCATGTTAAATTAACAGATATGACACCAAGGAAGGAATCAGATTACTCAAGTGAAAAGCAAAGTGCCAGAATTTCAATTTTGTCCTGTATGCAAACTGCTTCCTGACAACCAGCAGAAGGGGAAATAACAGAATGAAAGGTAAATTGCTTACGCCTGGATATCGGAAAACTTCCTGCAAAATCAGAGAACCAACGACATGGATTTTAGCGCTTCCCTGCCATGTCCAGTTAGCCTTGTCTTCACAGCAGAAGTAGTTATCAAGGAAAAGAATTCGAGGAACGATCCATCTTGGTGATTCATTCGCTGAACATACTGCAGCAGCAAGGGCCTGACAACACTGCCAAAGTCATGGAAACATAACTAAAATTAGTATCAGAAGAAACCAATTTTATTTTATTTTTTTTAAAATTTTTTTGACTGGTAAACTACAATAAATAGCTTCGGGTAAATTTAATTATCAGTAAGCTATGTCACAATAGCTTGTAAAAGAAATTTTCATAACTTTGTTGATAGCAAGTTCCTAAATTAGTTGAACATAATAGTCTTGAGTTTAGAAGCCTTTTATAACTGAAAGAAGGCCAGTCCAATTACAAACCTTTTGTTCATGAGTATGAAACCTTTGACTTGCAGCGATGACTGAAGCAATCACTCCTGGCCTTCCCATCTCAATAATACCCTTAAAATTTGGACCAAGTTCCTCCCAGATTAACTCCATCTAGTGGACAAAAGGAGGTAAGTTTCTAAGAACAATAGAACACTACTACAAAGGAGCCGATAAATATTGTGATAACCATCTATAATAGTGCAATCTTAACCACTAGAGAAGTTAAGAAGTGTATTAAAGCATACTGAAGCAAATCAACACCCAAATACATACTTGTTCTCGATGCCTTGCGTGAGATATTAGTGCTTGAACAACAAAGTTTCCACAATGATGAGATGAAAGCTCAAATAATGAATTCCTGAATACTTTCAAAAAAATTTCATTGTACAAGACTTCAGGAGCCACTTCCAAAATTACCTAAAAATTTGCAAGAAAAAAATAATACATTAAAGTTTAGCATGATGCTGCCACATGAAAACACAAAAAAAGTTCGTCCTAGAAAACCCAAGGTAATTGCTACAGAAAAATAATACATTAAAGTTTAGCATGATGCTGCCACATGAAAACACAAAAAAAGTTCGTCCTAGAAAACCCATGATAATTGCTGTGGCTAAGTAAACAGTTTGTCCTAGAAAACCCATGATAATTGCTGCCGCTAAGTAAACAGATTACTGATTTTCAAGGGCCAGTGACTCAGAGAAGGTGGAACTCATTTTCAAGGCCTACAAAAGTTATTAATTTCATGAGACAATCAATTTCATAGACTTGAATTGGACCACAGTGATATATCGAGATAGAATTAGCTTCCACTTATGAGAAGCTAGTTATCAGATGGTTTTCCTTTACAGCTGAACTCAAACTAAAAACTCATACAGACATGCAAACATGTTAAACTGACAACTTATATAGAAGGGAAAAAATAACTTTCGTAAGGTGATATATACTTTGGCACAAGATATTTTTAACGCAACATAATTTATAGGCTGCTCACCTCCATTTGATGGCTAAAAGCAGTTTCTTTCATCAAATCTACAATGTTCCGCACTTCATTTGCTTCTATAATGTTGCCATCTTTGATATTCTCCTTTTTGCACCCAAGAAGTATGGGAATTATTCTCAACAGTTCTTCGTCATCTCCAGCTAACAACTTCAAAGCAGTCTGCGAAGGGGAAAAAATTCCAACACGTTTAGTGCAACCTTCGAAACCATAAAAAGAAAAGTACAACAACAAAACCAAACTTAACAATAACATAGAGACAACACTTACCATAAAAAAAAATTAAAAAAAAATGAGGATATGGAAAGAAATTTCATTAAACAACAAGCAGATTCATGAACTATCATAGAACATAAAAAATTCAATCAACGAGAAATTTACAAGGATGGTATAGTGGAACATGCCTGCAAAACCAAACTGCTATACTGGTCAAATTGCAAAGTCTTTATGTCTTCCTGGGTACAATTCATTATCCCCGAGACAAGAAGCTTAAATAAATCTGGGAATCCCTGATGAGCATGCAATGAAGCATTTTCATCTGATCTAGATGCTTTAAAATTCAATCGCTCTGCAAGAACTACAGATGACTTCTTGTCATGAGACTTTGAAGAATCCAATGGTACTCCTTTACAGAGAGAAAGAAGGCTTCGAAGAACATGAGATCCATAGCAGTTACACATCACATCAACAGAATTTTCTACAACAACCTACAAAAAGAAAAAAAAAAAAAGGAAAAAAATGATGTATTAAATTAAAAAATCATAGGTTAAGCCGTGTCCATAAGTCGCACATTTCGCTTTCTGACTTGGGATGCTGGACAGAGCAATCACTATCGAGATGAACATTACATTTACAGTCTAGCCTAACAGCAAACCAATCTTCTTAGCTGAAATACAGAATTCCTAATACCTTGCATATCATGGTTAAAGTATCCTCAACAACAGAGTAGACATCACTGTCTTGAAGATGCATAGCTAAAGACCTAATAGCAGTCTCAGCTACATGAGAACCCGATTGATCCGTCGCGATAAATGGAAAGTCCTTTGCACAACTTCGAAGGAAATCACAAAGGTGGTCAATATCACATCCCTCGAGAAGCATCTGCAAAGTGTGGCTTATGATATAATCAGTCGCAAGTTGAAATTCATTCCCTCTGGTTTCTTCAAGAGCATTACCACATATAACCGCCCGCTCCTCCAAATCAACCCCATTACTCTCGAAAAGATTGGCAATCTCAGAAAAGTATTTCGTGGTTTCCGGGTCAACCTGCTTCCTAAAAAGATTTATTCAAACTCATAAATACATGTGCAAACTGTTCATAACTCCAGATACTAACACAGTCAGCGCACATTACATTGATGAGACGTTTAATTGATCATAAGAAGAACCAGACCAATGTCTTAATACCTGACAACGGATTGATGAGGCGCGTAATTCATCCGATGCTTCGCAAAATTCTCGGTTTTAAAAGAGCCATCAGCTGCCTTTCCAGACACCTTTTTCTTAGAAGTGTCATCAAAATTACCTTTCTTTCTCTTGTCCCTTTTATGAGATTTATCCTTCCCTCCCATTAAACCTGTCCCGGACTTAATCACAAAACTCCTGCAATGCTTTTGAACCAACACAAAACCAATAAGCAAACCCAATGACCGACCCACAAACAAAAATACACACACAATTATCAGCAGCTTCTTACTATATACAATTTGAAATACATATCAATAACCCACCAACAATATCTAAGCATCTGCAGCTTTTCGTAGAAAATTTCAATCGCACAATCGGTTAAAGAGCTTAAAAGCAACTATAGTATTTTGTAACTTCGAAACACCAAAAACAATTAGCAACTCTTGTTCTTTTTCATTCCTTCTACAAATATTTCGTAACCATTAAATTGAAGAGTACTTGTTCTGTTATCATCAGAAAGAACTGGAAATGTGAAACTCAAGCGGTATTATATATCTATAATATATCTATATAGATATATATATATATGCATATAATAACAAAAAAGTGGACTTACCTTGTTGTAGCTGCTTCTATGCTTACTGTGGTTAAGTTCAGAAACCTAACTCCAAACCTTCTTCTGATGAGTTATGAAAAGAAAGCTGCGAACCAAATGGCGCCGCTCACCAAAAGAGGGTTTACTGCCGTTTTCTGCTGTCGTCCAGCGAGAGAAAAGAGAACGGCCCAGGCCCAATGACTATATTTAAGAGTTTGCAGGCTCAACTTATTGGGCTTATTTTGTGAGCCCAGGCTTAACTAATTGGGTTCTAATTGGGTTTGGTCAGCTGAAGCCCAATGACATTTGGGTGATTTACTCATATAGCAAAATTTTAATATCAAAGTTTAAATTTAGTAAAAATGTTAAAATATTAGAAGAACAGTAAAATTTTATATCATTTTTATATCATTAAAATAATGATTATATCATTATATAGTATAAAATAAGATATTATTATGATAATTATTATGTTATTTTTACTATATTTATAATATTCGCTAAATTTCAACTCAAAGTATGAAATTTTGCGAGGTAACTACCAAAGGAAAAAGTGCAAACCTACCCTTTTATAAGGGATGAGGAGACAAATATTTTTTAAAGTATAAAAACTAAAATTTTTATCTCTTATTTTTTATAAATATTATTTTTAGTCAAATAATTATATTAGTCAAAAGAGTATTAAGTAAAAGTAAAAGTTAAAAATTTAGACACATACATTCTAAAAATAAGTTCAATAATTCTCTTTTTTGTGTGTAAGAGTCAAATTTCTATTATTAACCTCCTTTTATCCTAAAGACTCCTTTATTAGAATATATCAATTTAAACAAGTTAAAGAAAAGGGACAATACTGAATAAAGGGAATATTGATTTCACTTGAATTTTAACCGTCAATTTTAGAAGAATTTCACTAATTATCCGCTATCCATATACCACCTACCTTACTTTAAATGGTACAATTTAGAGGGGAAATCAATTATTCATTTTGTGTATTATGAATAAACAGAAAAAAGAAAACAAGGCGTTAGATTTGTTTTTAGGAACAAAAAAAAATAGGCATTATCTTAAGAATAAAAAATAAGTACTAAATTATTCGAATTTATAGGCGCATTTTATATTTCATGATTGGGATCAATTATCCATTTGAATGGCTAATTAACGGAGGAACAAAATGTCAAGTCCTATATTCTGTTCAAATTATTCCGATATTGAAAAATACAAATGTTCACGAAAATAATAATCTAAGGCCACGTTCATTTTACCGATTTGAGTTTAGAATTTAAATTTTACTACAGTAAAAAGCTCTACGAAATAGTCACATCTAACTTTTTTACTACAATAAAAAAACTCTCACATAAAATTACATATCAACTGGAATCAGCAAATTAAATAGATCCTAAGAGTATTCACCTAATATGTTTTCGAACTTCACTTATCATAAGCATGTGGTTCACATGCAAAGGCCGTAATGATAATGAACTTCTCGTTGTGTATTTGGGTCAAATGTAACGTTGTATCCCATTGGCCCCATCCCATTATATAGAAATAGATGGTTACTTTTTTAGACTACAAATTTAATGCGCAATTCATGGTAGACGTGTTCAAATTTCAAGGAACAACCAATAATTAATTAACTTTTGAGAAGAATAGTCCAACAGACAGAAAAACAAATAATTTGCTGAAATTGGTGGAATACTGGAATGCCCACAAAATGTTATTATATAGCTGCGACTAAATGTCTTCTTAGTAAGATGTTCTTGTTAATGTTTTCTTTTTTTTTTCCTCTGAAAAATGGATTTCATTTACTAAGATCATAAAACAATATTTTTTTTTGAAAGTTAAAGCCAAGCCTGAGGAGTTCCTTTTTTTTTTTTTTTTTTCCTAGAAGGCCCTGTTCATTCCGCTGCTTCGAGTTTAGAATTCGAATTTTTTTACAGTAAAAAGCTCTCACAAACAATCACATCTAACTTTTTTGCTACAGTAAAAAGTTCTCACATAAAATCACATCTCAACTCGAATCAACGAAGGGAACGGAATCATGCTTTCTGGATGGTTAGTCAAATTATTGTAAAAAAAACACAGCTTTCAATGAAACACATTACCAATTCAAACGATGGTTACACATATTTTTTATTTTTTTTTATTTTTTTTTAAAGGAAATAACGTCTCATACACACTTTTGAGTGTATTAACTCTTTTAACAATGTTCTTTACAAAAAAAAATAATAATAATAAATAATAAATGGTACCACTTATTATATGGTGAGAAATGAGACTGTAATAACTCTCACCGGTTGTACCTTTTTTAAAAGTTGTACATGCATGATAAGATTAAGCTTACATCTATCATCAATATTATTATAAAAAAATAAAAAAATAAAAAAAAACATATTTCTTAGGGGCCCTTATATCAACGATAACTTTTAACAGATCATAAGATGTCTTATTAAAACAAAATAAAGGTGTTGCTACAATAAAAAAAAAAAAATCTATTAATAATGCATCATGTCCGTGTCCATATATATCGCTACACGGCAATTGTATATATCACATAGATTGCTGATAATTCATTACCTCCATTTTGTTATATATAATGGTTTTTGAAAATTATATTAAATTCTGGAATCTGGTTTATTTAAGTTCTGTAGTAAACCGTTCTAAAAGTAATGAATACATACTAATAAACAATTTTAATTAATGAAATATTCTGATCAAGATCGCATCCTGACCATATAACTATATTTTTTCCCCTTTAAAAGCGATTTTGTAGAATTTTTAACATAAAAAAGATAAGTAATATGATTGTGTGTACTTGAACCAATATATGAATATTGTAAAATTGAAATGTTTCTTTTTTTTCGAACAATATTCGCATATAATACATAAAAGATAAAAGATAGATAATATGATTGTGTGTACTTGAACCAATATATGAATATTGTAAGATTGAAATGTTTCTTTTTTTTCGAACAATATTCGCATATAATACATAAAAATAATTTTATTGATGTGGTTTCGTGCTTTCCTCGTGCAAGCGACCAGCAATAGCAAATTAGCAATCAGTTTCTACCTAGCTGGATCACAATATTTTTATTGATTTAATTAGTATTGAGTTCCAAACAGGAAGCTGCCGACACTTGACTCTTATATTATACTGTATTGTTTACTTATGTATAAAAATGCTAATTTGTTGTCTTTATATTCATTTATTGTTATTTTCTGGATATAATAATATAGTTATCTATATATGTATTAAATTGATAAACTTTTGTTTATATTTACCAAATGCTATCATGTAAAAGTCCCTGGGGAGTATAAACCATTTTTTTCATCCTTTATCCTTTTACTTTCTTTTTCCTTTTTACACTACTTTAGATCAATTAGACAAGCAATAAGCAAATTAAGAATCAACATTATTCTTTCTTTATCAAGGCATCTGAATAATGGACACAAAAGCATGTGTAGCTTTTACAACTCATTGGAAATTTTTAATTGCTTTTTATAATATCTCAAACATTTTTTATGTCCCAAGCTTGTAAAGCAAGGTACTCGATAACGAATAACGTATAAAGAAAAGCGTTTTAGTACTATACTTGTTTTTTTGTTTTTTTACGGCAAAGGAATAGATGGAGGCCTCATTTATTTCACCGATTTAAGTTTTTAATTTTAATTTTGTTATAGTTAAAAACTCTCACAAAAAGGCACATATAACTTTTTCTGCTACAGTTAAAAGCTCTCACATAAAGTCACATCTTAAATCGAATTAAAAACTCGAATCCGCGAATTAATCAAAATTGATTTGATCTCCTTTTTATAAAATTACTAAAAGCCAAAATCAATTAAATTTGAGTATTGGTGCTATTATTTGAGATGCATTTTTCAGTGGTGGAGGCACCCGTTTGTACCTGCATAACGGGGGGGTGTTGATCGCGAGCGCGTGCATCACCCTTATGCCGTATCGGAAAACCACCTCCACTGTCTTATGTTAAATGCAGGCTTTGTTTACTCGAAGGAAGGGAAAAAATACAAATAGATCAAAAAAGGATAAAAGAAAATCATATGAAAAATAAGAAAATAAGTACTATGGTACGACATTTTAGCGTAGAATAAAATATAAATTTAGGGGACGTTTGATTCATGAATTCATAACCATGATTCAGAACCATTCTCGTTTAACATGTGTTTTTATGAGAGAAAATATTGTAGCGAGCCACGAACCATGATTCAAATCATGGCACGAATCCCTCTTCCAAACATCCCCTAAATAATGTCTTTTAAAAATATATAATCATATTTTCATTGACTGCAATTGTATAATTTAAATTAAAGTGCTATAGTCAGGTCTATTGTTCTTAATTCATTATATATGCTTCAAAAATAACTTCTCAAAATTAATCATAAATTAGCTAAAAACTCACACGTTGTTGCGTAAAATATTGTTATATTATATAAAAAGTTGGGAATTTGTATAGTATAGAATTAGTTTATATATATAGATATATCTATATAATATTCTAGTTAAAAGTTTTTACAATGTATTATATCTTTTGTTTTCCTTTTTTCTTTTGTTCTTCTTAACTGTAAAATACAAATTTTTAAAAAATTAATAATAATAATTAAGACAGTTGAAAATTTTTAATTATATGTAGTGTAAATTAAAAGATTTAGAAGTAGTTATATTACATGGTCCTTGAGCATTTTTTGAGTGGGTTTGTTGCCTTTGGTTCAGAATTGAAATAATAAAATATTGTTAAAATATGTATTGAAAATAATAAATGTTGATTTTTATTGATAATTAATATAAATTAGTAAATACAAGAATAAATAAATAAATAACTGAGGATAAAAGTGTACAATCATATTATAAGTTAGGAAAAGACCTAAAAACCTCTGCGCAGAAAAAGGAGAAGAAAGGGGAAAAAAAGAGTAAACTCGACAATTCAAATTTTAGGGACAAAATCGGTATTTTATTGTATTATGCATAATAAATCATGTCTCTTCTTTAGTATATATAATAATGTGAGTATATTACGTTAAGCTCGTCTTTTTTTTTTAAGTGGGAAAAAAGAGAGAGATCTCATTTTCTTTTATTGTGATTAA